CGCTGCTTGAGAAGGGCGGGCTTAGAGAATTCGGTAAGCGTAGTTGAAATACCACCGAGTAATCTTAAGCGCCAGCTAGTTCGTAACCGCCTATATGACCGTCTATGTGCAACTCAAAATTGCATAATTTGCCCCAGTGGTAGAGACGGTGATTGCATGAGCTCGGGTATAGTTTATCTGATCTCCTGTAAGACGTGTGGTGACGAATACATTGGCGAGACGGGTAGACCCCTCTGTGTCCGCATGAAAGAACACCTAGCCGGCAAAAATAGACCAAATACCCCGCTTGGCACGCATAGGACCCAGAGACATAACGGGGACGACTTCGAAGTATGTGTCACGATCCTCGCACGCGAATCAAGAACACAGGCGCGAAAAACTCTCGAGGCATTCTGGATTAATTCCAGAAATCCGAAAATGAGCCACAGGGAAGAATGCCTCATTATCACCCGTGGTATAGGGCAGTATATAAAACTGCTATTCTGATGGGAGGGGCACATTACACTTCCATGTGATTTTTGTGGGGTTGGTCTCTACGTGACATACTTAGTGGAAACCTTAGAGAAAGCGGTGAGTGTGCAAAGATGTGTTCAACGTGATTGAAATCTTGGCTTAGAGTTTCTTTGTTTGGTTATGGAGGCGTCTGGCCGAGTAGATTGCTGTCAACTTGACCTTTCCAGGCTCTGAGGAAGGCGAAATCCGCCGAAACGTCAGCTTATTCGTGAATAGAGAACAATAACACCTCGCGTTTGCTCAACAAAAATACGAAGAATTACTTGATCAATGCCGAGGTTAATAGAAAGTCGGTCGTGAAAGTCTTTTGTTCCTCCCCTTCTCCAATTCCTCCTCCAGGGTCACCAATTTGAAAAAGATTGGAGTAACAATAGAAGGGAGTAGTGACTTTAAAAGACGAAAAATTCGAATTCAAACGCACTTTCGAATTCCAAAGTTTAAAAGGTATAACAAATAGAACAAAGTTCAAAGTGTAAGCATCTCATTAATCACAATCTTAACTCTTTTTATTTACTGCCTTTTTCTTCTTAATGGCAGGGTATGTTGTGAAATACAACTCGTATGAAGTGCTGAGATATTTGCAAAACTCCGGTCCACAGGTGTATGCAGTAGGGAAAGAACACGCGCTGTTGTCCTTACCGGGGAGCAGCGCACTTCACCACTACACCATTCGGATCCCGGATGACCCGGATGGTGTAGTGGTGAAGTGCGCTGCTCCCCGGTAAGGACAACAGTGCGTGTTCGTTCCCCACTGCATACACCTGTGGTCCAGAGTTTTGCAAATATCTCAGCACTTCATACGAGTTACATCTCATTAATCTTTCATTTCCTGATTTTCATGATGTCGGATCAGATTTTATAGTACATCTTCGTAAAAGAATCCCCACTGAGACTGAAACTTTCGCTCCTTTTCGTCTTCTTGTTGTTCTTAGTGTTGTGAATTCCATTGATCACCAAGTTGTCCCCATCGCCGGTTGACTCGCCACATAAACATCGAGCATAGCCCTATGGAACAAGAACTTCAATGCTTCGATTTTTGTTCTCGTATATAAAAGGATATTGTTTTGATGATTTCCAATACAACTGTTATTTTTTAAGATTCACCAAATATGATGAATTCTCGAACGTCGCCGTAGGCAGCGATTTCACTACAGTAGACGGTGCCTCTTTGCCGTGCGCGCGACAAAATACTAGTGTAGGAAAGAAATAGTCAATTTAACAGTCTCTTTCGTCAAGCAAAGAACTCGAGACTGTTGGGCTTTTTTTATTCCTAGTAGATAAAAAGTAGAAACCGGCTCGAAGAACGCTGCATGAAGGCCAATCTCTCTTTTCGTTTTCGAAACCGTTTCCGTATCAGTGGACGCTTCCTTTTGTTTTTCTCCCGCTTGTTCCATAGCGCCATCGAAAGCGGAAAGCTGAATGTGAGGACTTATTATGATCAAGAACTTAGCCAGATTCTTTTTAGGTTGACTATTTATGAAACGACGAACCGTTCTCTTTACTAAATCGACACTTGTTGCCAAGCTTGCCTTATATGGGTTGAGGTTACACAGAGTGATCGCTGGAAATGGTGCAGTATCTGTAAGAAGAGCATTCAAAACTCAACATTTTGAACAAGCGAATTAAAAACGACGTACGACAGGGGCGAATTGTCACGATCTGCCTTTACTTGATCGTTACGACATTTGCTTTTAGCTGGCTAACGAAAAACGTATGATACCGTTCGCTTATTTCGACGTAGATCCTACATTTTATGCATCAGACCTATTAAGACTCCTATGGAATCCATATATATTGATCGCCATGCGTGGTAGCAGACAGCGCTCATAATGCTCGAATATTTCAACAATATTGAGGGCAAGACGTTATACGGATAGAAAATAGGAAGGCAAATCGAAATAAATATGGCATCGACAGACACGGCGATTCGATCATTGCCGTATTCCACACTGTGTTTCAGATAACTCATTTGATTCGACACCTTCCAGAGTGACCACAGTAAATTGTTCGAAAGAGTTCAGTCAGTTTTAACTTTCTCTTTTTTTCACAATCAACAAGTGCTTTGTTCCTTTCAGACGAGGTCTGAAACTCTTCTATATTTCTTCTCAATTAACAGAACTAAAGAAAACCACTAATAGAATCGTCCCTTGTAGTATACACTTTTTGCTTCACTTAATCCTTGAACATGGTATGTGGACTGTATCCTGGATTTTGTCATTAAGAGGTTTTTGGTTTTGATAAGACGAAAAGAAGACAGCTTCAAATGCTTCAAAATCGAAGAAGCATTTCCAGTGTCCGTCTTTACATGGTATAGAACGAAAGTGAAGGTCTAAAAACATGCTCATCAGAAGAGAAAGGAAAAAATAGTAAGGCAACCAAGCAGACACCAAATTTCAGTTGAATATCGACAATCTTCTCATTTCGTCTGTACTTTTCCAGCACACTCTGAGCATTCATGTAGAGCATTGTCATACATCCAAGAAACAGAATCACCCAAATCGCTCTGAAAGACTCATGTCACCGAAGTGTCATTCATCTATCAACTTTTGCTCACTTCTTTTTAACTTCAACTCATTTGTCCTTTCTTTTTACTTCGATATCGTTCAACCTGCTTTGTTTTCATTTACCGCTTAACTCAGAAATCCTGCATGTAGGAATTTTTAATGTACTCATAAGAAAACTTTACAAATTTGTCATTATTCTTAATACTACTATTATTAGTGGAGCGCGTGTGGCGCAGTGATTGCAGGCGCTCTGCAACACACACCTGCAATCGATCTCCGCGTCCATAGCCCACCAAGTCTTCCATTCCTCCAAGGTCGGCAAATTGGTACCAGACTTGTCTGGGAGGATAGCAGCACTGGCTCGATACATTGGTAGGTCACCGCGAGTCATTCTAAGGGCCAGATATGCATTCAATCACCTCCAAACTGTCCTTAATGTAGTCGAATGCATGTCGCACCCCTCAGGGATTGATCAACGCCAAGAGCTTTGTGCTTTATTTTTATTCATTATTATTAGTGGATAGCTAACTAGTTTTCGAGCCCACGAATCCATTCAATCTGTTAACGCGGAGTAAAGTAAAAAGCAAAGCTAATAAATCGTATTTAGTGGCTAAAAAAGAAATCTGGCACTCCTACGTGCGAGCTCAGTTCTACTAGTAATCAAGCTAGTATTCAATATAAAACAAAGTTCATGGCGTTAGCATTACTACCTATAGTATCGATTAGGTGCTTGTCCAATCATTGGTATACCATGAGCAGATGTTTTATAGCAGAACTCCTTGAAATGCCAGGCCATTCGTTTTTCATACGGTAAAAGTTTCGGGTCGAATTGCCCAGTGATGATTTCACACTGCAATAATTAAAGTCAAATTTAGACAAATATAGACAACTTCATATCATTTAATCGATCAGTACATTAAATCAATGTACGTATGGCGATTAGTTGCCACTTCAGTAAAAAGAAAAAATGCTCTCGCATCCTGTTCAATGGATGCGTATCGATTGATCAACCGAAGGTCGCAGCCGATCAATTTCTGATCCAGCACAAAAGCATTATCAATAGGAAAATTTTTCACTTATTTGCACCTTAGACAATCGACTGCTCATTAGGAAAAATGGTAAACAAAGAGAAATAATGGATAAAAGCAACAAAAAAGGAACGAAGGCTTAATAAATTAAAAGTCTTTCTCAGAATTCAATCGAAAGAGCTTTCGGCGAACTCCTGGAAACTTCATTTAAGTGGAAAAATAACTCATCGATTTGTATCAGGTCTGACCATCATTTGTGATAATACCTAACTGATGTAAAATTAACGCATAAAGTTCACGTAATATACGAATTTGATTAAACTTTTTAATTTAGCGTCAAAAATTTGAACAAAAATCCCGGTACTCTTTCTTTGGTGAGCTTACACGAGGTTGATAAATATATTTATTTTCGGCTAACGTCTAAGCGTCTTCGTCTTCATCAAAGCCGATGATCCGAGTCGATGGTCCACGCTTGTCCTTCGTCTCGATGCGGCTGCTTCGCCTTCCTGTCTTGTCAGGTTCTTCCTTAGCTGGCCATCTCCTCGAATGAGGGATACTCACTCGTGATGCCCTTTTATGCAGGATGCTGATGGTGGAAGCAATGATAATGCTCGGTGATAACAATTTGTTTTTCATCCGGACAATCGATCTTGCAGAAGTCGGTGTAGCTTTACCATTACCAGCTATCACCCAAAAAATCCCAGTAATCTTGGGAATTTTGAATAACATAAAGTAGATCTATTAACTTTAAATACCTACTAGGATACTTGGGTGGCCCGTCTTCGCTAGTTGTCCGGGCTTCAGCATAACTTCTATTTTTTCGGAATATTGCTGGTCTAGCCATGGCGGCTCACTGGAGTCCCGAGATCAGCCTCGCCAAAGTCTGCCCCAGGTCGTCACCACGACAGGCAGTGGCAGCCCTTGTGGATCAGAGGGGAAGTTGCCACTGTAGTTTGACACAAGGACGGTGGTAGATCCTGGCATTGGTTTGCTCTTGGCTGGGCTTCCTAATGGAAATGCTGGAGTCCTTCTCAGCTTGGGAGACCCTGCTGGGAGATGAATCTCCTCACTATATATCGCACCCCGACCCAGGAACACCTCCCAGCCAGAATAAGGTGGTGAACCGTTAGGAGGATTAACCTTAATTAGCTTGCTTTTTTAGACACCTCATTGATTTTTCGGGTTTCTAATGTTTCAAGTAATCGAAATCGAGTTGTCGAACGCTTGATCTTACGGTGCCATCACAAAACGCTCGAACGGTGTGTGCAACGTCGCCTGCTTTTCGGTTTTGTCAAATTGCCGGTTTTCTTAACAATAAACGATAATTTTCGGTAACTAGATGACTTGAAACGTTTAGAACATAATTTTTTAAATTAAATTTTTATATAAGAGACTCTTCTCTATTGCGTATAGGTGGTATGTGTGCTACTATTTACTATGTGCTATTACGGTCCACCAGACAGACATTACTGTAAACATTTAAAAATATGTTGCAGTTTATCTCGTATATTTCGGCACTTTTTACACACCCAAACTCTTCCCCATGACTAAAACTCGAGGCAGCGATTAGAATTGATATAGCAGTCAATTGCCGCTAAAAATACTAGTCAACGAACACGCTCGAAGAGAGGAAACGTTATGTGTTTCTATGTGCAGTACAGAGCTTTTCCCAGCCTATGCCCGCCACAACATCTGTTTTCGCCAAGCTATCATCTAATTACAAAAAGTTTGGGAAAAGATTAGATGGACCAAAATAAACCAACGGAAAGTGAGTGCCCCATTACAAAGTCACACCAGTAGCCCACTAGGTCGCAAGTGGACGTATACGTCTTCATCGGTCGCTATGTGTTATTGTAAGTGGCGTTAGTGTAAATGAGATTATCTGTTATTCTAGTTCGCCACTGTGAACGATCATCTTTTGCTCCGCACTTCTGTCCAGACTCTGTTTATGAGAATTTTCTTTAGATCTGTTTCGCCATAAATGGTTATCCGACTCGTGTGTAATTTTTTTCAAACAAAGAATATTATCCTTATTTGTACAGACATCTTATTTTCTTTGATGATGATACAGCACAAAACTTTAGCGTTTACCTGAACGCTCGAATCAGTCGAGTTGAAACATTCACCATATCCAAAATCACCGAAATATTCTCGTTCGGTGACGAATTTTGTCGTATCAGGATTCATATAAGAATATGGATCGCCGTATACCTGAAAGCTTCAGAATTAAAGGCTAAGACCACCGATTTCATGCTGACACCCCTTTTTTACTTTTCCCAAAGTTACTTTTACTACACGTGCAATCATGTTTCTCGACCCTGTGGGCTATAGAAGGTATAAGTCAGCAAAACAATTTTCAAACCGACCATTGACCTCGGTAGCAAGATAATCAACATGTTTCTAAATTGTTGAGCTTACACGAATTTGATAGATATGTTTATTTCAGCTAACGTCTTAACATCTTCGTCCTCATCAGAGCAACCAGTGGACCATGGCAGGTTATGGTGTGAAATACAACCACAATGACGCTAAGCCTTTTGCAAAACTCCAGACTACGGTGCCGATCGAAACCGCTGTTACCCTTTCCGGGGACACGTGTCCACTACCACACCCACGTTCCTGATTTTTGGAAATATCTGGAAGAAGAGTGTTGATAATCTTTGAAGGCGCACCATACTTCAGCCTGATTTTTCTACATGCGCTAGGCACATTACTCCCCCATGTAAGACTCTCTGCTGTTGGTCTCCAACAAAAGCTGAAAAGGAACAAAAAGGTAAGTGTTTTCTTAATAACGCAAATAAAATTTATGTCTTGTTTCTTCTGCTTGGCTTATGAAAGCGTCTGGTTGTGTGGCTTACATAACAATTTGAGCTATCCGAGCGCTGAAGAAGGCAAAACCGCTGAAACATCAACTAGCGTGGTACTGAAAAAATCTTGTTGCTAACAACCTTGTGTCTGCTCAAGAATAAAACACTGACGTATTGAACAATTCGAGGTTAATAGAAAGTCGATCCTGGGATTGCTGCAGAGAATATAACTCAACACAATGAGGCTCGGTTTATGCAGATGCAGTGGCTAGTTCGATATCGTGCTCAACTAACCAACCCTTTTAGCAAAAGATTAAATAAGACTGTTATGGATAAATTAATGATCAGTTATTCTGCTGTTGGTCTTCGAAATTCGCTCTACGCCTTCGTTCTTTCAGTAAGAAGAACCGCAGGAAAAAAAACGAATAATCTCTATTCAAATGGCTTGAGTAGGGGTTTTTAAATAATGATATAAAACTGACAAGACTTTCGCAATGATTTAAATAGTTTTCGAAACACTGAACAGTAGAAGAAATGTGATATGCAAGGAAACAGTTGCTGAGTGGCGGTTGTAAGGGCTCGAGTTTGAAGAGAAAGTGCATAAGACCAGCCTTCGAACAGTCTACAATTGTATGTTATATTTCGCAATATATACCCTTAAAAAGAGTAGGCAGTAAATAACAAGTTAAAATTACAATTGTATGGCTCGAAAGGTCTACTGCTAAATACAAAAAAAAGAATAAAATCAAAGATCGGGCGTTGATTTCCGGGTAATCTAATGTGAGTGCAGGTTAAACTGTCATCAAAGAGCGAAGGTGATCCCCAAGTGCTTGTTCACACTTCCCATTTACTCACCTGTTTCATGTATTCTGCAGAATCTTGGAGACGTTCCCAATTCTTTAGATTCTGGATCCACGCCATGTTTACTGGAAAATTTCTCCGCATTTAATAACTAATTCCATCGGTCATGCGCTACAGTAACAACGCTTCAGGATCATCATGTTTATTCAGTTATTGAATGATCATATCCTTTAATAAGGGTGGAAAACGATTTCATGTCAATACTTTCAAGCATTAGTGCTTTTCTTTCCCACCAATTTTCTTACACCATGTGATGCCGAATAATGAAGCTTAACATTGTTTTTTTTATGGAAAAGAGTAAAATCAGACAGATGCACTCAGCAAATCAGAATAGCTAGTAACATTAAGTTTAAAAAATGTTAAATCCTGCTGATCAATAACGGTAGGGAACGCAATGATTTGAAAATTCCTGGAATGTTAAACACATGGTCGCTGGTTCGATCCGTCTCGAGCCAATCAATGATCTGGCGGAGAACCGAGTGTGATGAAGGCCCTGGAAACTCTCGAATAGAGCGGTTCTAGAGTTTCAGAAAAAGTCAACTCGAGCAGCACTGACCGACTTTCATGAAGAACATGAACTTCTAAGTGACAGCCAAACTCGCACGCAATTTCTAAAACTTTCGAGACGACGATTACGAGATGGAGAACCCAACGAACGTATTGCTAGGATTCCCACATTATATGAAGTCTCTTCATATATATATATATTGTAATTGTAACAGGATTCGTTGCCAAACCTGTCGAATTTTTTGTTTCGCTTGGCTTGATTTTTGGGCGCAAGTGTGTTTTAATTTTACTACTATTTCTATGCGAGATTTAAAGACTGTATAAACGTTTCAAACCACCCAACTGCCCTGCAACATCCAGACCGATTGAATCAACACATGCAGGCATAACAATTCGTCTTTTTTTCCATTTAATAGTTAGTCATTATCTTTTTTCATCGCCTACAAACAGAAGAACAGCTTTGAAGAAACCATCAAACAATTTTCAGTGGGTTCTGCTTCGCTCACACCTATTTCGCTACACGATGCAGGAATACATGCAGGAATACATTTGGCCGCGTTCAAAATGTGATTTTTGCAAACATTCACTTACAGTGATTGATCTTATTGGTCTTTTAATACAGAATCTATACCTACTGTTCCATATGTTTAAAATGACTTAAGTTTAGGAGCGGATAGCAGTGGTAGTTTTGCCCGTTATTACGAGTATGGTGCTAGTTCCATTCCGTCCCTCGCCAACCAAGCCTCTCATCATTCCAGATTGGAAAATTGATATCATACTTATCTAGGGAAAAATCACTTTCTTCAATCCAATTGAGAACTCTCCGGCCGGACTACCTCAGTACTTCAGAGAGAATTGCTCGACCAGCATTCTACGACATTCAAGATGAAATGAAAACCCTCAAGAAGCAACCGAAGCCACACATAAAGTTTGAAGATCTTCGTGAACGATGGTTGCGAGGAAACGAATCAGTGTGGGATGTGGGCAGTAGATGTGAAGACGGATCAAATAAAACAAATAAAATATAAAATTTAGATTTATCTGATAGAAACGTCACCATTTTCAAATGCCCTCTGAAATCTGGAAAAAAAGCAAACCAGAAGCTGATCATAAGAAAAAAAAGTATGTAATAGAATTAAACGATGACTACAGCAGAAAAAGCACAATTCTAGAAAAGCGAAGAAAAAAGTTAAGAAACATGTCTGCTCCAGATGTGTAGCAAAAAGAAATCTGTACAAAGCCACAAAGATCCAGTAAAATGGCCTGCTAGTTTGTTTGAATGCGAAGTTCGGAATGAATATTGGCAGATGGTGCGAAACTGCCACGGCATCCCATATGCATGAGAATGTCGCCAGCCGCTGGAATAACACCATTGTCGCGTCTCATAACCGAAAACATTATAGCGAAGAAAAATGGAACGAAAGTCAGCTTATGAAAACAAATTCAAAAATTCAAGCCGTTGTGGGAAAAACGATTAGACTAAAGTGAAAGTCGTTGACCGACACCTACACCATCTTCCCGTTGTTGATCGTTTACCATTCTTAAACCACTTAGCACTGACCCTGGTGGCCGAATTCGACAGTGGTTTTGGAAAGATTAGTCTTCGATCGAATCACAAACAGACGATGTTTGTGGGGCAAGGATGTGTCAACACAATGAATATCACCGAATGTTCCAGTTACGCATATTTGCACCGGTAAGTCAACATGATGAGCGAGTTACTTCTAAATTTCATCTGGAGGAAGTAAACGGGCAGTTGAAGGAGCTTACGACAAGATCGACGATGTGGTAAAGAATGGAAGCAAAAGAGCAGCTTGGTCATCTTTCCAACTCCACTATTCTTCGCAGACGTCGCATCCTTCAGTCACAATCGGGTAACACAACCCCGTCCACCGCTGCTACATTTGGCCGCTGTAGGCAAAAATAAAACAGCAAGCCAAAGAAGTTGAAGATGTACTAATTTCTAAGCTTGTTCACTTTTAACATAACCGTTCAAAATAATTGCATGAAAAGCAAATGCATGGTTACCAATGCATACGGTCCATAGTGCGCATTCAAGAATACAATAATACCAAGCAATATGGTCATTTGCAACTTAATCACTTTACGGCCGTTAATTTAAGCACTTTCCGAACGTTTCGTATTTTATTTTTCCAGAATGGACCAACCCTCACCATCGGGCGCGATATCTCGTCTAGGTCAGGTCGCATGCATGGTCGTAAATGACGTGTGAACTTTTAGGAATTCATGATAGGCACATGTCAACTTTGCCTTTTAAATCGAAGACAATGCTGATAGTAAACAGAAGAAACATTTTACAGTCTTAACCTCTCCCATCTAAAACTACCTTTTTCGCAGGCCCTTTTTTAATTATTTTTTTGTTACTACCGTCCGAAATAGTTGTTTGTTATCAGTGAAAGAAAGTACATTGGTCATTCATAAAGAGGTTAAATGAAAGATGGTTTACAATGTATTTGTTGCCGATTTATTAAATACCAGCCCAATTGATGGATGTAAAAGAACCCAACTTCAGAGTGTTCTGGAAACTTTTCATTTCGTATGACGCTTGTATGATTGCAAATACTGGCATTTCAAACTTATTATAGCACGACACCAACCTAAACAGCCACTGGCTCGATATTGCACCGGGGCCACCAAACCTCTCACTGGATCGGCAAACTAGTACTGGAGTTGTTAGAGACAAGCCCACTTCATCCAATCCATGTGGTAACGCCTTGCCACAGCTATCTCAAGAATTCACATAAAATCGACTCAACCAAAATTTAACGACATTCGTAGTTAAAGCAAAATTTTCATGCGATTAGCGTGATGGAGTCAAGATTGCCTTATAAGTTTATTGAGCTCTTAAACCCTCATGTAACTCAGTTATTCGCAAATCAGGACGCATGTGAATGTATTAAAGATGATTCGTTCATTTTGCTATTTGGGTTATTTTCTAGATCATTTTGTGTTTGGGCTCCTCTTTCATGACTCTCTTTGTTCTTGAACAGTCATGATTTGTTCAGAACAGTAGAAAACGATTCATTTAAAAGTGTTTATTGGCCGCCATAAAGTGGTTTCAAATTGGAAAAGTTAGAACATTCGCTGGTTTCTGAATGTAGAGCCGACAAGCATTCGCAGGCCAATGTATAGGCCAGAAATGATGCATTCAGTCACTTCTCTACGAATTGTTCCGAATGCACGAAATCTCCATAAGTCAGCTCAGAACGCCTTGTCATGCATCCTTCCACGTTTTTGCTGAAACTGGTCACAACCACGGCAGAATGTCTTATCATCTCGTGCACTTGGCAGAACGAGGATAAGAATAGTATGCCGTCCACCCACTCTGGTTATAACAAACGTACAGACAACATTTCCTCTAATAGTACCCTTTTTCACTTTTTTTGATCACTTCCGGTTCTGTGCTGAGAAGAAAACAATCTGAAAAATATTTAATGTGTTCTAGGTGATAACCTGTGTTATATATGTAAAAAATTATGCAATTTCTTCGTGTTTTCAGTACTCTCTGTGGCAAATGTCTGCCGAGAAGGATAAAAAAGAACCGAAAATCGCTCAAGACACCTATGACATCAAAGTCGACATACCTGATGAGCCAAATGTGAAAGAAACTTGTCATAATGACGTCATTTCGTCGGCTTGACGCCGATTCGGAATGTCTCTCTTGGATTTGATATTTTATTGTTTTGTGTGAATTTCAGACCTGCTTCAGTTGGAGAATTTTATGGAGATTCACCGGTCCAGGTCTTTTGATGAGCATCGCCTATTTGGATCCGGGTAATGTTGAAAGTGATCTTCAGTCAGGAGCTGTGGCACAGTTTAAGGTTTGCCTAATTGATTCTACAGTTCACGGAGGCGCTTCAGCTATACGAGGCTTTCAGTTGCATTATTATAGTTTTAACAACAATAACAATCTATCCTATCCATGGCAAAATGCATTAATTTTCATACAATGTTCTTCTTATCGATTGTCATCACTCATTGTCGATTATTAACTGATTTGTGACAGCACCAAGGATTTAATTGAAAGCGTTTTCGTTTCTTTGTAACCTCATACCGAAACCGTTAAGTCACACTTTACTTATTGATTCTTTGAAAAATCTCAACAAGAGTTTCATAGTTTCAGCTTATTTGGGTGCTGTTGCTCGCACATGTGCTTGGTCTTCTTCTTCAACGACTTGCCGCTCGTCTCGGTGTTGTTTCCGGAAAACATATGGCGGAGGTGGTTTCTGATAATAGAAAACATTAATTTCGTGGTTGCATGGATTTTTTCTTATCCTATTTTATACGTTTAGTCGATCGGACCCGCTTAAGGAAGATCTAAATAGCCTAAAAATAACTAAGCATTTGATTGAATAGTCACGGTTTATTCAGCTATAAAATGATTTTTTAGAAAACTCACTCTTTCCTTTTATTCTCTATGAATTCATTGCAACTAACCAACTTATATTTAGTTACTGTGTTTTGTTGTAATGGTGATTTCACCAAGATCAATCAATACCTATTTACTACACTGCTCCGTGGCGGCCGCGGCGAAGTGCGGTCATAACTCAGCGCAATAAAAAGTTATTATCAGTTGTTTGTAACAGAGCGGCTTTTCAGGGAAAGAAAAAGTGCAAATATTTCATAAAATAATGACAATTGATAGCATTCTTCTCATAATACTATCAATGTCTAGAATTTTGTGGATTTATTCGTGATGTAAATATTTTCAATCCGATGAAAACTGTTCAGATTGCTCATTCGTACTATCCAAAATGGCCGCGACTGATTCTATGGATTATGATTGAGATAGCGATCATCGCTTCTGATATGCAAGAAGTTATTGGCACAGCAATCTCACTTTATCTGCTTTCCGATGCAAAGTATGCTACGTTTTATTTAATAGCTACTGGTTGCTGACAAACGTTATCATTTAGTCTGACCCGAGACCCCAACAAAGCGTTAACGTTTTTTTTCTACTTCTAGTAATAGTATTTTTTGACACTAGAAAAGACAGCACCTCATTATGGAGGGCTCAGAAATCACTTTCCGCTAGGTTACGTAGCGCATCTCATAGCGAGTGGGGGTTACGCATATGAGGTGCTTATCCACCAGCAGTTCTGCCGGTATAAGCGATGGTTTCCCTAAACACTTCCTATAAATTGACTGAGTAGGTTTTGAATTGTCGTAAAATTACAGTTGGTTCTTGACCTTTCACTGGAATCCTGTATATCAGTTAATAGGAAACTTTAATAATCAAAATGAAACCCAAGACATGTACATTATTACTACTACTATTACATGACCTGACATCAAATGTCCTACATTGTGCGAAGGCTAGCATTCGATTCTTTTCTCCTCATCCACTACATACGGAAGTTTTCGAACTTTTTCCGTGCGTGGATTTGGTTGCTGATTTGGAATTTTTCGTCTTCATCACGAATGTCATTGAGTGCTAGTCGAGTCGATTCTCTCTTGAATTTCGAGATGGCCATTCTAGAGCGTTTCCATGTGGATTGGAAGTGGTGAGCTTGTTCCAGAGAAGACTGGTACCGATTTCCTGATACTGAAGGATTGAAAGGCTTGGTGAGCCCAAGGCGGGGTCGAAGTAACGCTTGAATGTTTAAGCCATCTGCATAATGGACAAAATCACTACCGACTTCCCTTCCTCAGTCAATAATAGTCGAAATTCATGAAAACATCAGTAGTCGTCTAGTAAGTGGAATATTTCCGAAGAAGCAATGTCTTGTTCCTCAATTATTCCATCTTTTACTAGACAATGCAGTTGTTGACGTATGTATCCGATCTTCAAGCAGTACTTCAGCAATGGATTGGTTCCGTCTGAATTGAAGAATTTGGATGCATCAGAGAGTCAATGCCTCATCTTCCAAGCACAACGAGGTTATTATAACCTCTTCAAACTTGGCTTCGGAAAATCTTCCGGTGCTTCATCTTCGTTTACCTCTGTGCAAAACTTCGCCGAGATTGCGTGCAGAAATCACCTAACTGTTCGTATCCTATATTCTTTTCCTTTCTTACGGCATTCATTTCGATGCAAAAACTTTATAAATCACCGTCCTACCGTACGACTGTCATCGGCTCCGAGTTTGAATTCGCACAAAAAATTTGACATGAAATTGAGAGTGAACTTTATGGTTCGAGAAAGGGAAGGCATGAATATAATACATGAAATTCCATTTGAAAACAAGGAATATTGAACAGAACACAACCAAGTTTTCTTTTGGGGACAATAGGTGATTCGAGGTTACTTCCAGACAAAGCAGTTCCATATTTAATCTAAGATAGCGCGGTCAGTCACTCAGCCTTATCTCTCTCCGAGAACAAGCATAAAAGTAGAAGGTCTAATTTCCAAAACCCCAAAAATAATCTAAAATAAAACTGCGTGAAAAAGAGGAGAAGGCTCCTAGAATCTGATGTAGCCAATAAGAAAAAGGAATTTTTGAAAGTTTTTGGTGCAATCATCGTTATCTGCCTTATTGATTTCTTTCTTATTTTCTGTTCACTTATCTGTACTATGTGGACCTCGTAGGGATTCGTGTAGAGCAGTTGTGTGAAATTCACTGAAGCACACAGATGGTCATTGCTCCATACACCCGGGTCCAATTACGCCACCATTCTTATGGGGTCGGAAAATTCGTACCAGATTCGTCGACAAAACCCCAACATTTTGCGTCAGTAGGAAACTACAAACCACTATTCACCTCCGGACCAAACATGCATTCAGTCACCTCCACTATGCTACGAATGAAACCGTATGCATGACCCCTGATCACCGAGCATTGATCTATGACGAACCTATCTCATTTGTCTCTTGTACAAACTTTGTCAAGGAGAAAGCGATTCCTCAAGAATGTTATTTTCAGAATTCCTCTATGGGCAGGTGTGCTTATAACAGTTTGCGACACGTTCACATTCCTCTTTCTGGAAAGGTTTGAAACACAATGAATACCGATTGATACCGTTCGTTGACTTTACTGAAAGATCTTTTAGATATGGAGTGAGGAAATTCGAAGCATTTTTTGCATTTCTTATCGCTTGTATGGCCGCAGCGTTCGGTTATGAATTTGCAAAGAGCAAGCCGTCAATGGTAGACTCATTCAGCTTTTTTTTACATACTTGATTAATGCTCGATACTTGAACGGCCCTTCCCAACTAGTTGTGCGGGCTCCACCATGATCTCCATTTTTGGGAAATTTGCTGGTCAAGCCACTGTGGTTTCCTAGAATCCCAAAGTTGGTCTGCCTCAGGTTCTCGTCACCAGAGGCAGTCACAGCTCTTGTGGATCAGAGGAAGATTTGCCACCATGCGACTTTGATACCAGCACGGTGGTGGATCCTGGTATTGGTTTACTCTTAGCTAGACTTTCTGATGAAAACGCCAGACTCCTTCTGAGCTTGGGAGACCCTACTAGGAGATGATCCCCCGTTGTACATCGTAGCTCGACTCTCAGGAACACCTCCCAGCCACGATTAGAAGGTAAGCCGTTGGGAGTTAACAATAGTCATACAGCTAGACTTAATAGTTATAGTAGTTAAAACAGGAAGCGGATTTTTTCACATTATAAAAGCAAATCAGTTTTTTTTCAAAAAAATTCCAAGGGAATCGTCAGTAACGATGGCGCTAACATTAACCTTATTTGTATTCTCAATGGGTCTATGCAAAACGTACATTATGGTCCCCACTTTAGTTAACATTCCAGTAAATTTTGACTTTCTCGAGATCCTGTTAGCACTCTGGAAACGATATACCTAAAATAAAAAGTATTACGTGGTTTAATGGAAAGCGAGCTATGTGAAACATTAGTCTCAGTCGTGTTTGAAGAACTTTGAAAAGCTTAATAATAGAAGAAACATAGAGGATAAAAGATAAATAAAGCTCTCAGTTTTGATCAACCCCAAAGGGATGCGCCACCATGCATTCGACCTCATCAAACGTCATTGGAGGTCACTGTGAATGAACATCTGGCCTATACAATTACTTGCAGTGCCTTACCGATGTATCGAGTAGGTGCCGCTATCCTCCCAGACATGTGTGGAACTAATTTGCCGCCTTTTGAGGGATAGAGAGCTTATTGAGTCTGGGATGTGGGACCGGGCTCAAGTGTATTGCAAAGCACCTCTAACCGCTGCACCACAGGCCTCCAATAATTAGAGTGGAGATATAACAGACATACAGTCGTGACCTAAACCTTACAGTAAAGATAGAGAGTTAGTGAAGTATCAAAGCATCAAGATCGGTTCTTGATTTGAAAGTTCGTACTGGCGTTCTCTCCATTGCCTTCTCTCTCACCACAGCGAATGGTCAAGTCCTGAGAATTAAACTGCCATGTGTGTTCAGAAAGTCATAGAGAAAAATGCGTTTTCGCCCAACGACTTGCCAAAGATGCGACTGCTGGGCAGCATACATTTTTCTCTTCGATCCATATGGGCTAAGCCAAAGTTTCGCGATAAAGTGTTGGAAAGAGGGTGGTACGCTAACCTAAAGATTCCAGACTATATACTAGCAATAACAAAAACAGCAAAATAGGTATTATCGGTTGTCTGTATGCCATTTCGTTTTCCTAGTTTCCTATTTTCGCATCCTCAGTGTTGAAACTAAGCGCTGTGGTACTCATTTCAGGGCTCACTATTCACCGGTATGGTGGTACCGTGGTGCACTGATTGCGGTCCTTCCCAGTTTCTGCAAGGTGTGTCAATCGTCGGAGCGGTGATTATGCCACACAATCTCTACCTTCATTCGGCACTCGTCAAAGTATTTTTCAAATTTAGTTCAAAACAGTTTGTTTGAATCTAGGAAGTGCTCACTATAATCACCAATCACAAAAATCTAATGCGCAGTTGGAGACTGGAAATACCACCCTAAGAACTGGGCTTTCATATTCGAAGAACTATTACAGTTCCGACATGAAGTCTCTAATTTCAACGATGCACTTGCCATGGAGCAACTTTTTATAGCTCACAAAAAGTGGAGGTCAGATGTAACGAGTACCAGGCCATAAGCAAGATGTGAAAGCGTGGAACTATAACCACAATGATGCTGAGTTATTTGCAAGAATCCGGGCCGCAGGTCTCTACGGTAGTGATCGAACACGCTATTTCCCTTTCATAGGGCTAACGTCTTCACCACTGCACCATGCGGGTCTATCGTTCCACCTTTCTCTCAGTCATGTTTTAAAGGTTCCATCAACAACCACCCGTCAACGGAATTGAGCTTAACTGGGTTCAATTCCGATTTGTGTTCCCCATATGTGATTTGTGTAGACACCTGCGATCCTGAGTTTTGCAAGTTTCTGAGTTTTAGAGCTCGTTCTAGCTGCTCCTCCTTCACCGCAACCGCCATTCAAAAGACATTCCTTATCTAGACATTTTAAATTTCATTGTTTCATTTAGAACAATTACTGTAGATGTACTTTGTAGCGTGTTGTTTTCTTCTCAAATGAACTGAAGAGAATTCTCAAAGCGCCAAACAGGCATCACTACGCAGAGCGTATAGGTTTCCAGCTCTCAAACCCCTCACCACGTTTTTTCGTCTTTTAGACAACCCCTTCCTATACGTGTGCAGCTGGAGGAGCTGAAAAACCTTCATCTAAAACAGCCCAGCCTATTTTTGTTAACTAATCTGAAATGGCAATAAGCCAGCGCCTCAATTAGTTCGCGTGTAGTCTCATCGTCTTCCAGCTATTTTCGCATCTCGTTGTCTTCAGCGGAATATTACAGTTGTCGACTTAGACGAATTTCAAACCCTCTGTGCCCGGTAAGGAAAAGAAACCCACAAAGACATAACGATGCCTACAGGTGACTTCATCTAACTCGCAGTTCGTAGTGACGGCTCATACTGCGGTTTCAAATCGCTCACCATTGCAGCTCACCTGGAACACATTTGAAAAAGGAAGAAAACTACACCAGTGCAAAACGTAGAATAAAATCTGAGTAAACGGCTAGGTTTGTAATTAGTGCAAAAAACAAAAAAAATTTTCTGTAATAATTAGTAATATACTTTTCCAAGTGTATTTTAGAGTCGCTCTATCGATCGAACTAGGATGACGAAGGTCAGTGAGGCGAACAAGTACTACTTCATCGAGTCATTTTTCGCCTTGTTCTGTTCATTTTGGATCAACGTTCTGGTTGTTGCTGTGTTTGCCGAAGGACTCTATAACAAAACGAACGGTGACGTGGTACGCTTGAAATATGCTCTGTATGGAAAACTGCTACAAACAGTACATTAAACCATCATAATACAATCGTTATTAGATGTTTTAGTTAATGAAGTAGCAAACTAGATTTACATTCAGGCGTTTATAAACACATCTTTGAAAGAAAAAGTTGTTGTTTATTAACATAATTGTTATTTGTCCGATGCAATCAAAGATATGGTACCATTCTTATTCCTGGGTATCGGGCTGCGATGTACAGCGGTGGGATTCATCTCCCCGGAAGGGTCACCCACGCTGAGAAGGAGTCCGGCGTTTCCGTCAGTAAAGCTAGCTAAGAGTAAACCAATACTAGGATCCACCACCGTCTTTGTATCAAACTAGCCGCACGATGGTAAATCTCCCTTTGATCCATAAGTGCGGCGACTGCCTGTGGTGGTGACGACCTGGGCCAGACTAACCTCGGGACTCCAGGGAAACACAATGGCTAGACCAGCAAAAATCCAAAAAATGGAGAATATGCTGGGCCCGCACAACTAGTAAGGACGGGCCGTCCAAGTATCCAAGTAAATAAGTAAGTATTTGGACTGTTGCAGAGACACAATTGCTACACAATCGACAATCACATGCCAGATTTCTACAAAGTGATTTTTGAAAATAATACCGAGCCAGCCGAGAGCGATATCTTCCACGCTGGAATATTCCTAGGTTAGAAAAACACTTCCTAGATAGAGCACTTACTTATTTAAATTCACAACTAAATGTCTTAACGTTGGAGATCCAAAACCCTCTACGTGGCTACGCCTAATTCTTCACCGCACGCAGTATGCTGTGAAAAACTGGTCCGGAAAAGGCTTTTTGCGAACTATTAAATGTAGGAGACGGTTTTTTGTGAACCATGTATGACCTAACATCTATATTAGGCGAATGTCAATAAGATATCGAAAGTAAAATACAGAAGAGCATTTCAGCAAAAGAAAGCCTTGAAAAACGCACTGTAATCACTGCACGCGGTCCACTCTACCCTTCCGTACACGCATTGGTACCAGTGCGCACGGTCACTTATGTTTCCCTGATCATAAAGAGAAACAAAAAAAGACGTTTCAGGCAGTTGCTGTTCCTTGTATCGTTGCAAGTGATTTTTCCCCAACTTAAGGAGATTACATTAACGACTTTATATGACAACATGCAAAAACGTGTTATTTAATGTATTCAAACCGTTATAAGATTTTAAAGAAAGCATGAAAGTGAGATCGTAGGCTGTACGTTCGGTGTCGGTGCGCTTTATGTGTGGGCCGTTGGAATTTTGGCTGCTGGTCAATCGTCCACCATGACCGGCACCTATGCCGGACAATTCGCCATGGAGGTTCGCCGTTTTTGAACTTCGTGTATATGCATGTGTGCACTTACAAAAACATGTATATATATATGTATGTGCACGTGTTTGTAGCATATATATTTGCGGAGTACGTCAGCAAGTATATGGAGTGTCAGTGCCTCTGTGCATGTGATTTCTTCAACAATCCTAGTCGAATATGTTGTTTATTCAGGGTTTTGTTCAAATCAAACTACCACGTTGGAAGCGGGTTCTTGTGACAAGGTCGGTGAATTATGCAAATCTTAATGATAACTGAATGTTTTTATTTTAGTCTTATTTTTTATTCCTTTATTTTTTATTTATTTTACTTTTTTATTTTATTTTTTATTTTTTGTTTTTTCTTATTTTTTTTTTATTATTTTTTTCATTCTTTTTGTTAGGTCCAAGATTTCTAATCCTTTGTTTCAATCAACAACCACCCCAGATCTAAGGTTTTTTTCAGTTGATAATTTGCTTTGGTATGATAAATTTCATTGTGCGACACATATACAGACATAGATTGGTGCAATCGTAAAACTGTTGATAGTTTCAAGACGTCCCCAAGGTCACGCATAATTAGCCGTGTTTCCGCAGAAATAAGAACCCCTCCAGCTATATTGTTGGCAATTTATTCGCAAGCTTCTAAATACCAGCCATATTACGAAGTGTGTACTACTTCTTCAGACGGGTGTGGAGTAGAGGTTAGATGTGCACTGCAACGCACACACGTTTTAGTTCGACCTCGTTTCCTGACCCAACCAAGCTCTTAATCTCTCTTGCGTTATTAAATTGCTATTACACATGTCTTAAAGGATAAAAGCAGCTGATTTGATAGTAGTTAGGTCCTTGCAAGTCATTGTATACGCCAGTCATACACTTGATTACCTATAAAATGCTAGATATGGAATCGAATGCATGGTTACTAAGGGATTGAACAGCACTGGTCACTTTATCCTACATCCTCTAACACTTGTTATAGCGCAGTTTCTCCCTAACTTCACTTAAATTATTGGATGAAATAAAATGTATTACAACAAAATCTATACATTAACCTTACTATATTCCAGAACATTGGCAATGGCACCGACATTGCTGGTGACAATATTCAGCCGCGGAATAGAACACATCACAGGACTGAACGATTTTCTTAATTGTGTACAAGTGAGCCCATGTTATCACATTAAAGATAAGTCCTTTCCATATCAGTGGATGGCTAACCTTAGTTGTTGATCTGATGAGCTCCAGTTGTTGTCGATTCGTAAAATTCTAATAGTTTTCGAACTGTGATCTTCCAGATGATACAGTTGCCGTTCGCCTTATTACCTGTGTTGACATTCGTCTCTGACAAACGTGTGATGTTCACTTTTCGGGCATCAAGGTCGTCTTCTTATCGATTTATTGATTTATATTTCTGAATTACAAAAGGCATAAAATCCCTCATCGTGACTGCATGATGCATGTTAGCATCTTTGCTCTAGGTATGAAGTAATGTGCTGTAGCACAGTAATAAGTAGTAACAGTAACAAGTGGGCAGTAATTATCAGTCACGTTAAGCCACTGGTAAATAGCCACTTAAACTTGCTGCTTCACTTTGGCCAAATCATTTAGTAATCCTAAAGACCAAATTTCTTCGTTTACGTTCCGCCCTTTCATATGTTTCCTTTAAAAATGATATAATTATAGAATAAGTTTAACGTTTTGTTTTCTGCCTTCTATAATTTTCATGACAGGTTACTAAGCTGAACGCGTTACTCCCCGGAAAGGATAATAGCGCGTTCGTTCCCCACCATGGACACCTGCGGTCCAGAGTTTTGCAAATATCTCAGCAACGTTGTGGTTGTATAGAATAAGTATTACATTTAGACCGCAGCAGATTTTTTCGTTGATGGCAACGATAGTGATACTTGCCATTAATTTTTTCTTTCTCTACGAATGGATGAGTACGACGTTCGGTTTTAACGTTATCTCGATCAGCTCTTCTGTGATTCTGGCAACAATCTACATGATAGCGATACTGTTTCTAGTAAGTTATCAACTTCAGTACCCCAGCAACCTAAGTATGTATGTAAGTATACATGGTGTAGTGCAATAGGGCACTGCTTCTATGAACAAACTCGTTCGTTCGAGTTCTAGCTGCTTTATATTGCGATAAAACCATCAGATTATTTGGTAACAGCGCGTTTAACAACTACTTTGGTTGTCTATCACTGAAACAACATTCTAAGCACTAAACGCCTTATAAATTTCAGTTCTATTACTATTTCGCTGCCATGGGTGTTTTTCCACGATTCGATTGGGTTGGTTTCCTTCCTAAAGTACTCTTACCTCTTTTCCCTGTTATCAATCAATGTCAATCGAAGCTGCCAGCCAATAGATACACTTTACCTTTAGGCCTTTTCAATTAAGGTATGGCTTCCGGCCCCAAAATATCAGGATTTTGATGCGCCGTGGTTAGCGTCCATTCCATCGAAGGACGATAAATCCTCGCACGTGAACCCCGTCTGCGACGATGATGATGATGACGACGAATCCTAAAATCAGAATTTCAAACCAAAACGCGCAAAATTACTTGGTTCTTCGCCTTGTCGCATCCAAAATCATCGTATTTCGATCGATTTGAATACTCGATTGTTGTGTTTGTAGCTTCTAGTAATATGATTAAAAAAGTACCTGCCCTATATAGTTGCATTGTGGTTATGTTATTTTCCCTCCATCGGACGAGTTACACTGGCTCTACGACTCGCTAGTAAATCACAGCTGTTGTTTGGATGACTGTACAAAAAGATTTAACAAAGCTTCCAATGGGGAATCGTTCAGTCACATTTTGCCCTCAGGATCTCTTCATAATTTTCGAAATCCTAAGAAGAACAAATGAGTATGATGGCATATTATTTCTTACTGTTCACTATGTGAAATTTTATCGATCATTTTCAATGGTATTCATTAATTTCGGTGGTTTTAACCGTTTCTAATAAACGACGTGTATCTTCTTCTTCTTTGTGCTTTGCGGTAGTTCTTGATCGTCTTATCTACAAAACGATGGTAACTTTGTAGGGAAAAAACATTTTTGGGAAAACAGTAAGTGTGACGCACATACGCAACCATAAAATATTATGAATAAAGTAGAGAAATAAAGGAAGGGATGCAATCTGAACAATATTTGGTTAAACAAACGAACTCCACCATCTAAACACGGACGTTACAGTTAATGTCAGCCGAGGAAAGTGATTATAATCACATTGCACTTAACAGCAGACTGTTTTTCCGAACGAGTTTGTTCGTCTACTTGAGTCCAAAGGTAAGATTGTTGGTGGAGAGAGCACTAAAATAGGTGTGCTGTAATTCATCGAGAACAATCAATGCGAAGTTTCATTGTGTCGTAAGGAAAAGAAATATTTTTAGGTGGTAAGGGATTGTGGAACATATACATATATATATAATATATATATACATATATGTAGGCATTGTCATGGATGTAATAATGGAGAAGAAAATAATCAAAATATAGCCATAGAAAATCGAAACGCGGAAAGAATTTTAAGAAAAAGCGAATACCTTATATTTTCAACAATACATATGTATACGTATATATATATACATATGTATACGTATATATATATATATATATATATATATTAAAGAACGCATGTGGCGCAGTGGTTGGAGGAGCGACTGCGACACACACGTGCTTCCACCACTACGGGGTTGGCAAATTGGAACCAGACTTGTCTGGGAGGGTCGCAGCACTGGCTCGATACATCGGTAGGCCACTGCGAGTCATTGTATAGGCCAGATATGCATTCAATCAGCTCCAGACGATGCTTAGTGGAGTTAAATAGATGGCGCGCCGGTCAGGGAATGATAGACACCTACTGCATTATCTTTATATATATTTGTATATATATATAAACAATATTATATTTACACTTTCGGCAAAGAAAGTCTTGTACACACCCGCCCAACTTATTTAGAGGCCACGTCAAGATTTTGTTGACTTTAAAGTGAGGATCTCGCAATAAGTAACAAGATTAAGAGGTAGATGAAAAACGTAACGACAAACATGAAAAAGAAAAAAACATTTAATAATGTCCGTATTATATCTGCCTCATTAGTTGGTCGACTCATCGACATATATATACAATATATATATATATATATATATATATATATATATATATCCTACTCAGTGGAAGACCAGCAGGACCGTGCTAATGTTCAAAAAGGGTGACCTGCACGATATCGGCAACTATCGTCCAATTTGCTTACTGTCTCTCGTCTACAGACTTTTCACTCGAGTCGCCCTAAAGAAGATTGACAGAACACTAGACGAAGAACAGCCACATGTGAGCAAGCAAGGTTTCGAAGAAAATTTAGAACGATGGACCACATCCACACGGTAACACAGCTCATTGAAGTATCGCGAGTACAAAAGACCTCTCTGTCTCACTTTCATCGATTTACAGAAGGCCTTTGATTCAGTTGAGATGGAAGCAGTCATGGTAGCCCTTGATAGTCAAGGAGTCCCAACTTAATACATAAATATTCTTCGTGAGCTGTACAAAAATTTCACAACCAAGATATCACCATTCTACAACGAATATTAACATTGACGTCAAAAGAGGGATTAGGCAAGGTGATACTATCTCGCCAAAATTATTTACCGCCACCCTCCAGAACGTTATGCGAACATTGGAATGGGATAATATGGGAGTGAGAATCGACGGTCGACAGTTACACCATCTTCGCTTTGCTGATGACATCGTCCTTATAACACCAAACATTAGCCAAGCAGAACGTATGTTTGACGTCTTTGATGAAGCCTATGGAAAGATTGGTCTTGGAATAAATCTCATAAAAACGATGTTTATGAGGAACGGATTGGCTTCGTATGCCCCATTCACACTCAACGGAAGGAAAATGTCCGAATGCTCCGGTTATGTCAATCTCGGTCCGGAATTCAACACGTTAAACGATTTATCTCCAGAGTTTAGCAGAAGGAAATGAGTGTCTTGGAGAGCTTTTGAGAGCATCCAGAATATAGTGAAGAGAACAAGGAACACCCGACTCCGCGCACACCTTTTCGACTCAACGGTACTTCCTGCCCTAACGTATGCGTCAGAAACCCGGTTGATGCGTAAGCAGGATGAAAGATCACTCAGCGTTATCGAACGCGCAGTCGAAAGGACGATGCTAGGAGTATTCCGTTTCACACAAGTAAGGGATGGGATGCGAAGCTCTGACCTGCATCAACGATCAAAAATTAAAGACACCGTTTTGTGCGCCAAACATTAGAAGACAATGTGAGCGGGACACGTAATGCGCATGAACGACAACCGATGGACAGGAGCCGTTAGTGACTGGATTCTTCGAGATGTCAAACGCACTGCAGAAAGAACACCGACCCGATGGTCAGAGTTCTTAAAAAAGAGCCTTGAAGAAAGATATGATGCTCGACGAGTCCCTAGAGCGAGCAGAACCCCACTGGGCTACTCTTGCACTCGACAGGGAGAAATGGAAAATTTACCGGTGCCCGCTCGAGCCACTCGACGATCAACGGGACTACAAGTGATACAGGTGATATATACATAAAAGCGTACACGATGTCTAGACTGCAGAAAACGGAGAACTTTGTAAAGAAATACGTGGAAAGGAAAGAGGAACGCATATAGACATGTGGTGCTATGAAACCCCTGTAGCTACTATTTCCCAAAAAATTTCCTGCTTTTTACACTATCGTATGTTTCCTATACCATTCGTGTTTGCTGTTAACTACATTGTTAACCTCTCAACGGTTTACCGCCTCATCACGGCTGGGATGTGTTCCTGGGTGCCGGACTGCGATATACTGCGGAGCGAATCATCCATCTGGCAGGGTCTACCAAGCTGCGAAGAAGTCTAGCGTTTCCATCAGGAAGCCTAGCTAAAAGTAAACTAATACCAGGGTCCACCACCGTCTTAGTATTAAAGTCGCATACTGGCAAATCCTCCTCTGATCCACAAGGGCAGCGACTGCTGTGGTGATGAAGACCTGTGGCGGACTTTGGCTAGGGACTCCAGGGAGCCACAATGGCTAAACCAGCAACACTCCGAAAAAAAATGGAAATTATGCTGGAGCCCGCAGAACCAGTGAATACGGGCCATCCAAGGTTTACAGTAAGTACTGAGGATGGCAGCATTGACTGCACACATCGCTTAGCCACCACACGTCATTGTATGGCCCAGATTCGCATTCGTTCACCTCTGCGATGCTCTATGAAATCGACTACATGTTGAATCCTTCCGCGAAAAGATCAATACCGAATGCTTTATTCTTTTATCTACCAAAAGAACTATAAATTTCAAGAACGCGATTTCCACACGAATTCAGTCAACGTAAATCAGATTTCTATAGCACTACAAAGCAACTAAACTGTACTAAGACTTTCTATGTTTTATTTAATGCTATGCTTAAGAACCCATGCAGACTGCAGTTTACCGGTAGTATGTTGTAGCAGACAATGCTTATCTCTAATTGGTTTGAGAACACACGTATAATGCTCAGCTACGACAGATTAGCATTAGGGGCAGCGGACGTTGGCGGTGCTCCTCCTGATGGTGGCGGTTGTTCCTCGCCTAGATCACCAGTTTCGTCGTGTTTCTGCTCCATTTCCTTGCGAACCTTCTCGAATTCCTGTGGCTTCAACTGGACAAATGACAGCTCCAAGCTTGCATCCACCTAAAATCATTAATGTTCATGAATTGAGAACACTTTTCTTTCCACTCTATACAAATATGACTGCGCGGTCCTACTCTTGGAATGTTCTTATTTCCCCTTTTTCCTTTATTCTTCCGTGCCTTCTTTAGTGCCAGTTATGAACTCCTCCTATTCTCTGTTTTAACGTTTATATAATTATCATTCCAAGGAGCTTCTTTAACGTTGAATAGGAAGAAATTCACAATGTCGCTAGATCATAGCAGGGAGAATTCTGATCTACGACTGAATAGACCACTTGCAATAATCACATAGGATCTCACACATTCTCCACTTATTTCACCATCATCGTTCATGGCGAAAACTTGTTCCGTTTATGAATACACCGGTGAATACCTCTCCTCTATTCATAAGTAGTTTCCACCCCCGAATAAAGCTGCTTGACATCAGCCACAACCACGTCTCCCCATCTTGTAAGTGGTCGCACAGGAAAACGTCTGGATGATTTTGGTGTCAATATGTGTACCCTTTGTCAGCTTCTCTTCTCACATTATTGAACCATGTATGTTTCGCTGCCGATATACACTTCGCTGAATCCTGTGGACGAGATAATTGTCAAACGTAAGTCAGTGGTGCTTATTCTAACTTCATGTTGTGTTTCTGTTATATTTCAGAACATTTCTGCCAGACGCTGTCCATGATACAAGAGCAAATTCTCAATCCACATCTGCACAGCATAGCAACGTGATGGAAGGAGCAACGAGCGAAAAAAATGAATGCGATGTATTGGGTACGAGAAATGCTTGATGGTTTCTCGAAAAATCTGATTCCACCCGCACTCATGTTGTTCATGCCGCTGTAGTAAAGTGCTTACCCATTTTGACTCGTTTTCCATCTATTCATTGTTTTGCCAACGGTTTACCGCTTCATCGTCCTTGGAAAGTGTTCTTGAGTGCTGTCCTGCGATGTACAGAGGCGGTTCATCCTCCCAACTGAGCCTCCAAATCTGAGAAGACCGACGCTTCCATTCGGAAGTCCAGCTAAGATTAAACCGATACTAGGATCCACCCCGTCCTGCTATCAAACTAGTCGCATGGTGACAAATCTTTCCGCGACTACCTAGGATAGGGACGCCCTGAGGAAGGCTTTAGCCTGACTTCACGACACCAGGGACCACAATGGCTAAACCAGCAATTCTCCGGAGGATGAAAATTGATCTGAGGTCCGCGCAATCGGTGAAAACCGGACATTCAACTATCCAGGTATCCATGTATTTTGTATTGTATTGTATATGGTATATTGTCGTACACTTCTTTCCTCATCATGCAGTCTTTTGTGCATCCCGTTTTTAAGCACTTAATTACATGATGATATGTAAAAAAAAGCTAAGCTCCATTACCGAATTTTCCACAGATCACCTTCGCATTAAAGAAGACGCTGTGGAACTCCGAGAAGGTCATCTCTAACACATCACTGTGGCATCATACCTTAACGACAGCTGCATAATTGACGAGCTCTTCGTGGTATCGAGCGGCCGAAAAGACAGTGATCAAGGAACGTCCACAGAAGAACGCATAACCAAACTCGACCACCTGAAATGAAAAGAAGGTGGAAATGATTCAAAGATTCTTTTTGAAATTACCGATAACTGAACAGTTCGAATCTACTAATGCACAATAAAGTAGCTCATATGACTTGTTAAAAATCACTGCTCATTTCAAATCTCAAGCTGAGTAGGTTTCATGATAAGACCCAAAATTATCACCATAATCATCTGGTGTTACAAAGAAAATATAGCATAAAATCTAAGTCAGATATAGTCATTTGTTACACTGCACTACAAAATATTGCCACAGTGACATTGAGATATTTGCAAAACTCCGACCCCAGTCTAAATTCGAACCCGGGATTACCTTTTCCGGACGTTCGCGTGTTATCCACTGCAACACCTAGGCCTTTGTTTGGTATTTCTCTTTTTTCGTTGGTGGTTCTATAAGCACTCAGCCATTAACGGGAATAGTATGGAAAACACAAATCGGCATTAGACTTTTTAGAATTGCAAATATCTCAGCATCATAGTGGTTGTATTTCACATAATGCCCTGCCATAGGGTGTGTGTAGCGCAGTGGTTGGAGGCGTCACTGCGTCGCACACGTGGAATCGATCCCCACGCCCATGGCCCACCAAGCCCTCCATTCTTCCGAGGTGGGTAAATTGGTACCAGACTTGTCTGTAAGGAAAGCAGCACTGGCGCGATACATCGGTAGACCATGGCGAGTCATTGTAAAGGCCAGATATGCATTCATTCACCTCAACCGGTACTTAATGAAGTCAAATGCATGGCGCAACCCTCAGGGATTGATCAACGCCGAGAGCTTTGTCCTTTATTGTCTATTTACCCTGCCATGAAAAAGCAATGGGTAGTAAACGAAATTTAAGCATTATAAAAATACACTTCTACGTAAGGCTACTCTTCTATACCGTCTTTGAGAACAGAACACGATCACATTTCCCACTCCGTTCATGTAGATCGTAGTCATAAAGTCTGATGCGCACCTGATGTGCTCGAATTATCAGGTCAATATTCAGCTGTTTGCATTTATCACGTACCATGTCCTCACCAAAAATATGAGATACGGCCCGTATTTTATTTTGCTGAAACATTTAGGAATTTAATCAACTGCTGACAAAATGCCAAACGATTCTAAAGCATCGCACTGAGTCGCCATAACCACCTGGAATCCTTTCGTACCCGTTTCTGGATCTGCCCATAGAAGATCTTGTGCTAAACCGCGTACAATTCTAAGCGGACGTTGTAATTTACGAATGTCATCAAGACTGTTGAGATTTGGTGATAAACCTACAAGCCGGTAATGAAAGTGGTAGAAGTGATAAAGTGGTAGAAAGTTGAGGAGTGAGACACTTACCACCATGCATGCATAGGATTCGCCCAGAAACCAATGCTGCCAATGGCATCTGAGCGAATACCTCATTGAAATGATCGTAGAGTGCTTTCGATTCTAGCACATTGCGATAGCGTTGACGAATTTCCGCATTGAAACCGTACACTCTACAATACACAAGGTCCATGTACATTTGAGATTATCGTACTTACATGACTAGTCTGTATAATGATAAATCGATAAGCATATAGATGAAGAAAAACCATAGGATCACATCGACTAAAGACGGGATGCGATGATATTTTCTTGCATCAGGTTCATTGCGAACTACAGCTATACGATAACAGCACTCCTTTACCATTTTCTCGCCATATAATTGTATATGTGAAATGAAAACGTGATAAAAAGGTTTGGGAAATAATGGCAGAATTGTAAAGGAGGTTACCGAAAGACTGTTACAGAAATGTTATTTGCTTGAATGGCCCATCTTCACGGGCTGTGCAGCTTCCACGATAATTTTCATTCTGAGAAGATTTACTGGTTTAGCCACTGTGGTTCCTGGGAATCCCGAGGTCAACCTAGCAGAAGTGTTCCTCAGCTCTCGTGACCAATGCAGGCAGTCACCGCCTTTGTGAATCAGAAGGAGATTTGCCACTATACGATCAGTTTGGTAGAGTGGTCATTTCTGGCATTGGGTTACTCTTAACTTGGCTTCTGGAAAGAAATGTCGAACTCCTTTTCAGCTTGGGAAGCTCAGTTTGGGGGATGAACCCCTCGCCGACACCAAGGAACACGGTACACAGTTGAAGAGGGAAGGGGCTTGTAGAAATCACACTCTATAGCTTTTTATTTGCTGCCTATTATTTTTTCATGACAAGGCATTATGTGGAATACAGCCACAATGAGGCCGAGTAAGGACCCGCATGGTGTGGTGGTGAACGCGTTACTCTCCGGAAAGGACAATAGCACGTTCGTTCCCCACCGCAGACATCTGCGGTCCGGAGTTTGCAAATATCTCAGCAATCTTGTGGTTGTATCTCAATGTCATTCCGTTTGTCGCAGAAATCATTTAAAAACATAGACATTTTCTATTTTATAACTTTTTCAGTGATAAAAACTGTTTGAAGCGGATGAGAAGCTTAAACATTCGGTACAGTATGACTTCATTGAGGATGTGAATAAAAAACCCTCTGTAATCACTGTATGGACAAATAATTCCCGGTTATTAACATCCTGCCTACCAAGCAACTCTTGTTATTATTTTTGAATGTCAGTGATTAAAAGCGATCGATAGGTGATTCAGAACTTTACCTGTTAATATTGGAGAGCTCATGGTTCCCTCGCAATAAGTAGACTTTGCGAGGAAATTGAATGCGAAGTGAAAGAAGCAATAAAATAACTTCTAAAGAATGCCGCCCACGGTCCACATAGTCTCCAAGGAAAAGATATCGATGCTTGAATGGCAGACCGCAGGCCTGAATACTTTCTTGTCAGTCGTTTAATAAACGGAAGAAAAGGCTTTCCAGAATAATGGAAGTGCAACTTCATAAACAGGCAGCACGTCTGCAGACGACCATTTATCAACAACGATGCTGACGTAATTTCGAAGGATCATCAGGAGCAGTTTTACACAGAGATTTCGGATGGAATGAAGAAGATCGTTCCTACACTTCTATGGAGTGGCGATACTCGTCAATGACTCATTCTGCAGGTTGTTTTACCTCTGTAGCAGACGGCGTCATGGACAATGCCAGTGCTCTTTGTTGTTGGTGCTCTACGTACGAAATTCATCGACTGGCTAGCACGGGTCAGAGCGTTATACAATTCAGACGATAGCATTTAGCATTCTAAAGGATAAAGGATAAAGCTCTCGGCGTTGGTCTATCACTGAGGGGTTCGCCATGCATTCGATTCATTAAAGATGGAGGCGATTGAATGTATATCTGCCCTTTACAATAACTCGCGGCGTCCTACCGATGCATCGAGCTAGTGCTGCTATCCTCGCAAACAAGTTTGGTGCCAATTTGCCTACCCAGAAGGAATGGAAGGCTTGGTGGTCTCGTTGCTTGGGGTTGATTTCATGTGTATTGCAGGGCGCCTCTGAGCACTGCGCTACAAGCGCCTGCGCACTTGGCATTAAAAACCACAAGCCTATGAGGCGTTATGAATTCTACATAACATTAATACTTCAATAGTGAGCTGTACTATGTCAAAATGAAGATATCATGAACGATTCGACATCATGACAGGAACTTTTTCATTCTTTCTGTTACCCTGCAAGCATCTTTCACGAATGTTTTCCATTGGTCTGATTGCGGTTCGAGAATTTGTCGCCTTCTAGCCTCACTCACACGCTGAATGTCAGGCGCTATCCGAACCTTACGTCTCCATCAGATGTAATTGCCGGCCTCTGTGAATCATTAAGAGATTTAATCCATTGCAGCTTTGATTCTCTCAGCTAGAAAACAATTCCTGAGATTAGTCAACCGGTCGATCCAAGACGATGCAACCTGCCACATCTCATGCAGCTGTGGCAAAATGGAAGACGGTAACTAGTAGGAGATAGGCGACGGTAATCAGCACCAATCAATAACAACTAAACAAAACCACTTCGTTAGAATATTTCATAAATTCCTTTATAAAACGATAAAAGAAATTGAAAAAGGAACCTTCGATTTTAAAACAATCGGTTTTATAGAGAGTTTCAAAAGTTTTTGTTTGAAGCAAATATGTGAGCTGACGTACTCACATTAAAAATTCTCATTAAGTCACCATACTGTCCATGAATATCGCCGCATATGTTCACAGGACATCGTAATTCCAATAATACTGGCGAGTTTTTCATTGCTTCCATTGCACGTTCCAGAATCAAGTGAATCTCGTACACCGAAAAAATGACGATATCGATCAATATGTATACATAATATGGAACTCCTGTTATGGTCCAAGCAAATGCGCAGCTTGGAAAACTGTGTTCTTGAAGACTACCTCTATACAGAAGACCACTTTCGTTCGTAACTTTAAAATTACCTCATAATTTTGTCGAGCAGCACCAGCAATGAAATGCTTTTTAATGAAATCTTTTATGTTAAAACTTGCTCGTTCTTTATCTGTGATAGTATAATCGATTTTAACAGTTTGTTCTCTATTAGCCAATAAAGCGGCCGCGTCTTTTGCCTGGAAGAGATAGACTGAAAGAGACACACAGACAGACACAGAGAAAAATTAAAAGTCAGAGGCAGAGAAGTGGAGAGAGCGAGGAGATAAAGTGGCAGAGAGAGCGGGTTCAGTTTTATGCACTTTCTTCCTATCTATTCGATAGGAAGACAGCCTTCCGAATGTAGAATTCCAAAGCAAGGTATTTTTCGACGCATCTATCTCATTAACAGAGGTCGTAGCAGAAACGTTACAGAGGTTATAAAGTTTTGTTCCCTCAGTTTTCGAACACAACAACTTATCCAATGCGTTTTTTCTTCCAAAGCACATTACATGTTTGAATATTAGACGGCGTGCAGTATGTAAACTTCTTTATTAACTGCCTATTTTTCGCGGTAGTGTATAATGTGTGATACAACTACAACGGTGCTGACATATTTGCAAAACTCCGGACCGCAGATGTTTGCGTTGGAGAACGAATGCGCTACCACCCTTTCCGCGGACTAACGCGTTCACCACCACACCATGCGGGTCCTCCGTTTCCGTCCAGGCACCATTGTAGTGCAGGCTGCACGCACTATTTCATATAAAATTCGTAAACTCTTGGTAGAATTTGTCTGCTTCAGTAATAGGGAAGGATTGATGACCGACGCACAAAAGAAGGCCATGGATGTTAAGAGGATAAGATCCACAGAGATAACACTCTTCAAACGCACCGCCTCAATTGCTTCTGTACTAAGAACAGCATTTTTTTGCGCAGAGGCCACCGGCAATGTTTCCTAAAAATTTCACTTCAGCTATTATAGATGAGATGACAGCAAATAAAGAAGATGGAGAGGAGCCGAAAAAAAGTTGCAATCGCTGTGCAGATATTGCTCACCTAGGACAGCACTCAGAATTCAGAATCATCTACACATGAATCGGTAATAAATTGGATCAACCAGTCCACGTCTTCAGATGACGCGGCCGACTGTGCTTAAGGCGAGGTCAACATCTCTAAGTACTTGGTGATGGAGTGCTCTACAATAGTATTGCAATAGGTAGCACCGCTCTAGGTACTGTCTTGTAGTGGGAGGTAGCAACTACTCTCTAATAACTTGTCATCTAATATCCACCGTATCTAATATCTATAGCTACCACAGATCATCTAATACCACTGTGATGTCTTCATAAAATCTCTACCCTATCTCTCATGACGTGCACTGCTAAGTCTGAACTGAAAAATCCAGGTTTTCTTATTGAAGATACTCTCACGTTAACATTATAGGAAGTGATGTTATGGAAGCGCGATAGCTCAGTGGTAGGGTTGCGTATGGCGCTGATTCGACTTTGTGCTAGGCTTATGCTTCTCAGCTCTTCGAGGATGACCACGAGGAAAAGAATCAAAAGCAGGAAGTGCTGAGATCGCCATAGTAGATAGAAAAACAAGTTCTTTAAAGTACAAAGTGAAAGAATTAACTGTGGACTAAGCTGGTAGTTAAAACCGAGCGCAGAAAAAACGTTTAGTCATGAATTCTGCAACTTATGTAGCTGACATTCGATGATCATTGTCCACTGAGTAGGTTTACAGTGATCACTTAAGATTAATGAATACTTCAGACAACTAACATACCTCCTTGGTTTCCTCTAGTTTTCCCGGTACATTATCTTTTTCCTCTGTTATGCTCTCATTGCTTTTCTTGATTTGCATGTTCTCGAATACCTCCTTCACCTCCTTTGACTTCAACTCTGCCCTCATAACTCCATTATTTGCAACAGGATTGGGTTTTTCATCCTTTGGCTTCGATTTCTTTGCTTCTCCTGATCCCTCCTTTGGCTTCGTTTCTGTTTTACTAAGTGCATTAGTAACCTTAGCTATGGGTTTTCCTTCCTGTTGTTTCAACGTCTTCGCTACGTTCGACTTTTCTCTAGATACCACTTTGCAACCGTTCGTAGTCGGTTTGAGCTGAGCATTCGTAAGGTGTTTCATATGATTCTAAAATTGTTGGCTTTCAATAGTCTGCACTGCGTAGCAGGGGAAAACCGAATTAGTAACGTCAGCAGGCACCGAATGTGATCAACCTACACTAGACAACGGTATTTATACCACTGTTGTTGTTTAAAACTCTAAAAATCTTATCAGACCCCTATTGTGAAGTAAACCTCGTAGTCTTATTTTTCTATCAACTACAACGCTGGTATCAATAAGTGGCTCTAGTCTTTGCGATGTGATTAAGGAATAGTGTAATTTGCTTTCCCAAACGTCGTAAATGAAGTCAGCATTTAATTAGATGAACGACACCTATTCTGCTCTCTTGGCTACTAGGAATATATATTTGCACAAGGTTTTAATACCAGCTGCCGATCTCGATATATTTAATCACTTCCGAATATCATACCTAAATCCGTTGTTGTCGAATCTATATGACCCTTGATTTTTCGACTTCCAAAGGTTTACTTTCTCATTGCATATGGCACGTGTTCCTGCGTGTCGGACTGCGATGTGACGCGATGGATTCATTCACACACCAGATCTTTCCAAGCTTAGAAGGAGTCCAACTGCCTGTTAAAAGTAAACTATCGCTAGGAATTACCACCGCCCTGGTCTCAAACTAGTCGAGTGGTGCAAAGTCTTCCTTTGGCCGGCGATTCGCTGGAATGGTGATGACCTGAGGGAGGCTTCGGTTAAAATGACCTCGAGACTCCACAGAACTGCGTCAAACGAGGAAATCTTCAGCCTCACTAACCAGCGCACTAGGTGCTCCCATCTACGACGCCGGACGGTAAGATAACCGGTGAGTGGGGATCAAATCTTGGGTTGCGCAGGACATCACTGGAAACGGACAACACGAGAGCGCTCATAACACGCCTAGAGACATCTTTCTGTGCACCTACAACACCAGAACAGTCTCATCAGACGGCGACCTTTATGTTCTTCGTGAGGCGACTGGTCGCATTTAATTCCTTGTGATCGCCTTCCAAGAGACGAAAAGCAGGAAGGTTGAAAGCGTGAGTTTGTCGTGCACCCATATCTTTCCCACGTAGTCACCTCATACAAAATCCTATCGCCGCTCATAGCCATTCTTCGCCTTCACTTTCCACTACAAAGAAAGTCGGTACCATCAATGGTCACCAACTTGTAGAGCTAAAGAGAGAGAACGTCGACGCCTTACACAACTAGTTGGGCAAAATAATCGACAACGAGAAGCCTTTGTATAAATTCGTTGTTGGAGGCTTCGATGGCAAATTGGCAACGGCCAACGAAAACGAATAGAGGATGAGTAGATATGGAATAGGAAAACGAAATGAGAACGGAAACCGTCTTGCAAGACTTCTGTCTCCAGCATGTTTCTTTCATGGATATTCATTTTTCGAGAATAGCGAAAATCGCCGATAGACACGGGAGTCTCCCAACGGCACGACTCATGAGGAGATCGACCCATGCTCTCACGAAAGGAAGATGGTGCCTCGTTCACGCGTCAATGCAGCTGGATTCCGTACTGGATCTGATCACCATCTTCTTCGTACGAGGACTCGATGTAGCCATAAGTTGAAAAAAACTTATCATGGTCTTAGAAGAATAAGACAAGTGTATGACGTGGATATTCGGAATAAATTCTTTTCCCCATATAACTGGCAGATAAATGGAGGCGCGACCGAGGCTTACACGCTGTTTGTCGAAGGACTTAAAACTTGTGTCGAACTCCCCTCAGTTCCTCAAGCAAGAAGTTAAGATATCATCTCCATTAACACTAAGAATTTGCGAAAGAGAAGGAGCTTGATCCTACTGAAACAAACCTAAAACAGCTGGTAACAAATCCCAGCTGTAAAAATGGGTAGAAGATTTCCCGGAGGATTTACATTGGTATAGGCAGAAAAATTGTTGAAACAGCTCAAAAACGGGCTAATCTGTTGAAGTGCCATTCGGGTCTTTGTGACTATAATGTCCCCCTATCCGACCTAATCATTGAAGAGGTAACTATCACTAAATTCCGTCATTATATGTAACTGATAACGGAAAAGTTTTATACCAATCATTCTCACTCCAAAACCTCTTCCTCGAACCATGAAATCCACGCCGATAGAAACCACCTGTGATTCTATTCTTTGAAGATCGAGTTGCAATAAAAATCATTAAGATAAGCAAAGCTCCAGGTGCTACTAATATCACTGCCTACTTCCTTATAGATGCTGGGCACAAATTACACGTACTTCTCTCATGACATCTTATTCTCAGAAAGAAAATCCAAGACCAGAGGAGGACGGCGCCTACTATCGTCGTACATAAGAAGCGTGAGCGAAGGGAATTTTTAGCTACCGTACAACATGTTGTTGTTGAGTGCACACTACAAGGTGTCCTCATCCTTTTGCTCATAACGAACACCGTGCATGAAGCACAACCAGTTGAGCAATTAGGATTTCGACAGCGTTTCTACTCCATGGACATCTAGACCGCACCACGGATCATAAAATCTGTCGGGAGTACCATATGTCTCTTGTCCTTCCTTTTTCAACTACGAGAAAGCATTTCACAGCGTCTAAACGAACGTAGTCCTATGAGTGCTTGTTGATCAAGAAGTGGACCCTTGATATATTCGAACACTTGCAGACCGATTTTAGAATTGCAACATGAAAATAAAATTTTTCTACCGACCTCTTAACAGACCCATAGGAAAAGAGATTTGACAAGGCGACACCGTATCGTCAACAAAGCTGTTCACTGCCGCATTGCAGTCGCTCGATTGGAATGAGAAGGTATACGTATTGAAGGAAAATTCTTATCAAACCTTCTTTTCGCCGACGACATCGTCATTTTCTAGAAAAGTACCAACGAAGCAAAAGCGAAGACCAGTGAGCTCAAATTTAAAGTCAACTCATTACGCCTCAAAGTGTCTGAGCTTCTGAGCAGTGTTGGATTTGTCGAGTCGACCATTTATACCTGCATGTTCTTCATTATTTTTTCGTTCGTCCTACTTTTTCCTCATGCTCCCGAATTTTTCCCAATAATCCTCTCATCTGAGGCTCATATTAGCTCAAAGACAATTACTTGATACTCTCTAGCTTCACTGTCCACTCTAATGATCGAAAAGAAAGTTTTTAAAAAGTTTTTGGAACCAAAACAACCCTTGATCGACTGAGTTGTATCGCGGCGTATCGTGAATGAGACATTTCTGGGTGACCAACTGTGGGACATAGTCGAGATTCATCTCTAAGTTACATATTCGATTCCTTCCAGAAACCCAGTTGTGAGCTGCACCAGAGTACGGCAAACAACATTCCGTGGCTACCTCTTCCCTGAAAAAGCAAACGCCCTCGCACCAAAGTGCGATAGTCCTCGTGTCCTTTGAGAAAGCGCATGCCAGAAATTAAACTTGAGCAATATTTTTAACAATCTCGTGACGGCACCCAACTTCGTTCTTCGCAGGGTAGATGACTCAATTTTTTTTTGTTTGCTGTCCTCACCGTGACACTCATGGATCTCACACCGACCAGTCCTGAAGTCTTTATGTAGCCCGTCATTTTGTGTTGTAATTTTTTGCTACAAATCGGTTTTCCTCTGATTGTTGAAAAAATTTCTCTCCACCAAAGTACTCTCCACCAAAATCTACCAAATTTCATCTGATACAACTCATTTCTACGTACACCACTACGACAGTTTTCGGTTCTCACGTCGTTAGCGTGTCCTTTTCAGATTCATTGTGGTTCCAAGTGACTTATTCCTCACTTTGATAGGGACTGAATCAGTATACAATGTTGTAAAAAAGACGCTCATCTTCTTTTTGAGCTTAAACATCATCGTCGCAGTTCTGACTAGAGCAAACTAGATCGTAAAATTCGAAACTACTCTTGGTAGATGAGCGAGCACAAGGGTTAAAAAAGCAAGAGAACTAGTTCGTTGCAAAGCCTAGTAATTTATACCATTTATGAGATCTAACCAATACGAATAGCAGACAACTTTCAAAAAACCTGTAAACAACCGACTGATTTACCAGAATAGTCCGATGGTGAAAGAACACATGTCGACATAGAAACTGTATCATTGAGAAGTAGACATCAGCAGCTGCAATAGTCATGCGAGTCAGCTGATAGAAGAATCATTTGTTTGAAAACATGCGACCCAACAGTGATAAACATAACCAAGAAAAACAGAAATATGTTGAGAAAATACGTTGAAGGAGATTTTAAAAATGACCAACGAGACCAAAGTGAACGGCTGACGAACACTGTGATAATAAAAGGAATGATATGATGACATGGATACCATAAAGACAACAAAATAAGAAGATGAGCAGCTACTTCAAACCTGGCTATACTCATTTGTAAGTCGTTACAACACAAGCTGTCACGTGAAATACTAGTAATACTAGTAATAACACAGGCATAAAAATGAGCGTGCGAATATCTTTACGCCTGCGAATAATTTTAATGAGGATGAGTTTGCACAGGACCCTGCAAAGCCTCAAATTTGTTATGCTCTATGAGAAGGTACTCGACAATCTGTCCCTGCATAATCATATTGAATGCCAAGTGGGAATTCGACTGAACGGTTGGAATTTCCTCCTGAAAACTGTAGTTGTTAGATGGCGAATATACCCAAAACACAAGTGCCCGCTTATGACATTTCAACAGAGAGTATGTACATCTAGATATTTTAACATTCATTCACTGCCTGTTCTTTTTTCAAGGCAAGGTACGATGTGAAACGCAACCATAACGATGCCGAGATAACAGTACCTGAGCTCTCGTTAAGGTTATCTCGGATTTGAATCCCTCCTCAGGTTCCGTCGCATCATACCTTACCACGAAGAAAGAATAGGCAGTAAATAAAAGTTAAAACATTCTCATTTCGAATACAGATTCAGGTAAACTGGATTCAGTGTCGGTTTGTGCTCCTCAAATCAGTCCCATCGACAAGAGATTCCTGAGAGAACCGATAGAGTGAAAACTTCTAAAGCAATGGGTAGTCATCAATCCCTGAGAGATGCTCGAAGTAATCAACTTCAATAAACATCAAAGAGGTGATTGAATGGAAACGAGTTGTGTGCGCTAACCAATGTACCACGCCGTTGCTTTTATCCTCATGACAAATATGATAACAATTTGCGTATTTCGAAGTGGTGAAGAGCTTGATCCACTCGACGGGCAGGATCCAATCAATGAACACGTGTTTTGCAAGGCACCTCTACCCACTGCGCTATATATCCTCCCGCCGATTTTGTATAAAAAAAAAAGGATAAAGCTGTCTGCGTTGACCAATCCCTGAGGGATGCTTCATGCATTCGACTTCATTAAGCATCGTTTGGAAGTGACTGAATGCATATCTGGCCTTTACAATAACTCGCGGTGGCCTACTGATGTATCGAGCCAGTGGTCCTATCCTCCCAGACAAGTCTGGTACCAATTTGCCCCCCCCAAAGGGATGGAAGGCTTGGTGAGCCATGGGCGAGGTTATCAATTCCACGTGTGTGTGTGTGTGTTGCAGGGTGCTTGCGACCACTGCTCCACACGCGCCCTTTTTTTGATTTTGTATAGCTCAAAAATTCGCACTCAATGCTGATGTAAACTATGTCAATAATACAATAAATTTACAACGCCAGCTGTCATGCTCTATGAATTTTTCGATTTACATGAAAGCATAAGGATTTTCGCCGGCGAAACGACAAGCATGTTTGTTCGAATAAAAAAAACAGCAAAGATACCATTCTCAGGACAAATGTATGTAATGAAATAATGTTCACTTTAACAATAACACAATAAGACAACGTTATGCTTTCATAGGAGTCAACAGTTCTAGGAAAAAAAAGTCTCCGACAGAAAAGCCTGATGCACTCACCTTCTTTTGATCTTTTTTCTTCTTACTTCCATCCTTTTTCTTCATTGGTCTTTTCTCCTCTCCATTACTGAATAATGTCGGACCGAACATTATAGCAAGATTGTGTATCTGCATACGATTTTTGTCTGAGTGTGAGGCAACCCTGCAATGCATTGATAAAATGCGAATAATAATTAACATAACTATTATTGTAATCTTGCTAGATTGCTTAACACTGTCTAAGGCAACAACCCAAGAAAACCTCTTGGTACTGTAATACATTTAAATGATGTGAAAAGGAAATAGCGTCCTCGATTTCAAACTATCTCTTCTGACTGTACTGATAATTTAATCCATCAAATTTCATTAACGAATGTGATGAAGCAACAACCACTTTATCATATAAATACTTTGTGGAGAATCGCGAGATTAAAGAAAAACAATTGTAGAGAAAAAAACTGAATACAATTACATGTAGCTTAAGAAAATTCACACCTCAACAAATGTCGTAGCAACATTTTCAGCGTCTCCCTGTTTTCAGGCGGTAGCATTCGTAGAAGTTCATCAAATCGCTTGAAACGTTGTTTTGGATTTTGTATTTCTAAATGTGAACTGGTATAGACATCAAACGGCAATACCATTATCCTTCTTAAGCTGATGACTAGAAGGACAATATTTGAAGACGACAGATTCAGTAAATTTCAACTATTTAAGCAGTTAACCTTCAAGAAGGAAGCGACTAATTGGCATACAAAAAATCCACAATAAAGTTCCTTAGACAATGTAAAGAAATTTTTTAACTCCTACATAATTTCAGCACTTTTGCGACGAAACTGGCTTTCCGATAACTGACGATTACAGGAATTCAAGAGTAGAGAACTATATGGACTTATAGAAGATATTAGTAGGATATATTTCGTACTTTCTATGCTTCCCTTCTTTTATTCTTATACAACGTTCTCTTCAATGTAAATATATTTGGCATTAAAGCTTTCAAAAAGCTAACAAGCAGATTCAAGTTTTCAAAATTTCTAACGAAGAGCACCTGCAAAGAAAGATGATCGGAGAACATAGTCTGTCATTATGGGCAAAACTTCACTCTGGCACTTATTTTCGTGTTCAAAATATGACCCTTGGGGTGAAAAAGAAATGGAGGAAATGCGTGAAATACGCTTAAAGAAAGCAGAGTTTTACTTATACTCTTATCTTTAACTTTTAACCTTTATCCTGTTCGCGAAAAATTCTAGACTCTAGTAGTATTCCCGGCAAACAACAAAATTCACCACAAGCTGGTTGATTTAAAGCTGAAACTGGCCACTATCTCCATATGGAATAACATTCTTAGACTTTATATCGCCGCGTAAGTGTTAAGACCAATCTCTACAGATTGTGTGTCGTGGTAACACGAAGTATTAATACAACTTCTTAAAAATATGTTGCAATTGGCTCTACCAATAGCATAAAACATTCTTTCGCTTGCGTTATAGATAAAGAGAAAGGATAAAGGATAGAACACTCGGCGTTGATCAGTACCTAAAGGGTGCACCATGCATTCGATTTCATCAAGTATCGTTACAGTTGCTACTCTCCTAAACTAATCTGGCACCAATTCTCTCTCCCCGTCGAGATGGTAAGCTTGCTAAACCCAGAACACACGATCGAACCAACGCCCAAGTGTGTATTTTAAGATACCTCTAACTGCCACATGCATCCGAGATAGAGAAAAATTCCCTTTAATAGAGATATAATTAATTAATCAAATTAGCTAAAATGATTAGAAACATGTTTAATAGCTGCCTAGCAGCAGAAATGTCAAGTCGGACTTTTCGTTCCAAACTCCTATATCATCTAACATATACCACTGCCTCGATCTCTGATCAGCAGCCATATAAAAATGGTGCACCAATAATATTGTTCTATTTGCACTTAGTTTTCTCTTGTTACCTGTGAATACCATTGAACACATTCCCATTAAAGGATGATGGAAGATGATAGGATGTAAAATGAAGTCATCATTATATCGCAATTGCTATAAAATCATTGATAAAACCTAGCTACCTAACCATACGCTGATTGACCATTATAGCAGCAAAGTATTACAATGGCGCGAAGCATAGCGGCCTCTTTTAGTTGATGAAGTGTCCAGTTATACATGAACGGGAAGACTTCAACGTTACTCTTCACTTCGGCCTACGGAACACCCATTCGACCATGGTATAACGGAAAGGCATATTCAAAAGTAAAATATCTTGTTTCGAAATTACAAGACCACAGTCACCAGCCAGTCAACACCCAATGCGTCTGTGTTGTCAAACGATGACAGAGTGAACCGTGTAAATGGAAGAAATATTCCTTTAAGCCATCATTGTACACTGCCGTAGTCACATTTTCATACCGAATCACTCACTGATTGCATTCAGATAATCTTTTGTTAACGATGGTGGAAAAACTGGTTCGGCCAATTCACGAAAAAACAGCTTCAATGCGCCTGTTAGAACGTGCACATCCTCTTCGGAAACCAAAGCAGCGTATTTGTCTAGAAATACCAAATATAGAGTTTCTACTTGAAAATTCAAATCATCAGCTCATCAAGAAGAAAACCGTATGCATGATTATTAAAAAAACTATAAATGATTGAAACAGAACTATTTAATTTACCCTGATCCACTTGACACCGAATCTTCTGCACGGCAGATAGGTTTCCGCTCACTCTTAACGTGATACAATAATACTTAAAGCATAATATGGAAATATAGGAAGGATACCTTATACAAGGAATGAAAAACTACAACCAGTGTATAAGTAAAAACCAAAAGCTTCCTCAATTTTATCCCGACCACCCCAATTACTGAATGAGGTTATGGTTAAATAGATAGAAATAGAAATAGGCAAAGATTTATAATATGCTAACCGATAGAGCCCATCGATTTCTAATCCTCTGCTTTCAATTAACTCCGTAACAGTCCGAATAAACTTCGGCACTAAGCTGTTTTCCAACTGACAAATAGCTGATAATGTGCTGCCAAAAACTGGTTCATCTGAAAATAAAAGGACAGAGCCTCGAAAACGGAAGATATACAATGACGATGAGAAAGAAAAAACTACGTAATATAAAAATATTTACTAAGCGATACACGGCAAACTAAGCGGCTCGTAACGTGGAGCGAAATGCATGCACATTTCAAATTGTAATGAACATCAATATTCTCACAGATTTCCCTCAGGAGGGTCACATGCCGTTTATTCGCAAGGCAACGTGGCACGCTCCCGGGTGGCTGATAGATGCTTGATTAAGGTCCAAAAACGACCTTACACTTCCACTGCGCCGATATGACACAACTACTGTGTGTTCGTCCACTCGCATACAAGGACGTATTTGTGCATGCCTGTGCGCGTATGTTCTCGTTTACCCGGATTATGTAATCATTTTTTTATTTACTCCCTAATCTTTTCATGGAACGGTATGCTGTGAAATATAACAACAACGATGTCGAGATATTTGCAAAACTCCGGACCGCAGCTGTCTGAGGTGTGGGCCGAACACGCTATTACCATTTCTTGGAATTCTTTTTTCGACTTTCTTCATTGCTTATAAAAAGTGAACACATTGTGAATTACCCCATACCTTCAGCTTAACCGGGTTCAATGTCAATTTTTGCTCCCCTGATCGGAGTTTTGCAAATATCTCAGCATCATTGTAGTTATGAGGATAGTATTCTACAAGTCAATTCGACCAATACCTTACAATCACGTAAATGGAAAGTATACGAGACGCAGTTGGAAGTTGCCCCCAACAAACTAGTTCCTCACCTACTTTGGGAAAGACTGGCAAGGTACCCGTATGCATATTCCGCACCACGTTCACAGTTCAGCAAGCTATACTTGGGTATCGAAAAAGCTAAACACAGTAACATAAGCGCGCCTCATTCCCCTTACCCCGAAAGAGCTCAGGATACGGCAGCGTTAAGTATAACGAATATGGAAAGCCTGCTTAACTCAGAGCCATTTCAGGCAGTCTAAATCAAAAAGGATTACGATCTGTACCAACAAATGCACGCTACTCAGACCTCTTCAATACCAACATCCTCTTACCCTCATTTGAAATAAAGGAAGATGGATATCTCCTTCAACCCGCTCTCTTTTACGAAATCCGACACGTCATTTCGTTGGTGAAGAATCGAACAACCCCTTGATCTTGGGAGGATAAGACTTGAACACCTGAAGAACCTTCCGCCAGTCCTCACCAACACATTGGCTCGGCTCTTCACACGTTACCGATAAGAATACAAGGTTCCTATGAATGGAAGCAGGACTGTTCTATTGTCCAAGTGTGACTGCCACGACACCGGTAACGATCTGCTTTCTGTCTATAAACTTCGTCTATAAACTTTTCACTCGACTCATCCTAAACAGAACTGACAGAACACTGGATGAAGGATAGCCATGAGAGCCAGCAGGGTTTCGAAAAGGGAATTCAGTACGATGGAGCACATCCCCATGATAACAAAAACCATTGAAGCATCGCGAGTGTATAAAAGACTTCATCGACTTCAACAGAGTTTAGAAGCAAGTCCTGAGCAGGAATAAAGTCGCTACACAGTACATAAAGGTTCTTCATGAACTATACGAAAAAACTCAACAACAATATCACCATTCTATAACGTTGTTAACGCCAAAAGATGGGTTGGCCAAGGCGATACCATCTCGCCAAAATTATTTGCCGCCACTGCCGCCACCTTCGAGAACGTCATACGAACACTAGAGTGGGACAACAAGAGTGAAAATTGATACCCCACAATTAAACCATCTTTGCTTTGCTGATGATATCGTCCTTACAACACCAAACGTTAGCCAAACGAAAAGAACGCTTGCCGAATTTGATAAAACTTGCGGAAAGTTGGTCATCGACTAAATCACATAAAAATAGTGTTCATGAAAAACCGAATCGTTTCGTAAACACATGGGTTGAGAAGCCAAAATGATCCACGTAGCTCCAGAGCCGAGCAGGAGGAAGAGAGAAGTTTTGGAACTTTCAAGAGCATCGAGAATGTAGTGAGAACAACGAACACCCGACACCGTGCCCTTTTTCACTGCATCATTGTTCCTGCCTTAACATATGTATCAGAACCATGTCGCTACGTAAGAAAAGTGAAAGATCTTTCGACGTTAGATAACGCACAGTCGAAAGGCCGATGCTAGGGCCACCTTGTATCAGAATTTGTTCCAGTATAAGCGCATCCGACTACATTGTTCCCTCTAAAATGAGGAACATACCTGTCTTTCGAACTCACTTAGTTCATTCAAACAAGAAGGAAAACATTATACAGCAAATCTTTTATATAGGCCACCGTAAGACTACACAAGAATAATTTTCCAATTGCGCAGATGAGATTAGCGCCAATAAGATTCTTATCCCTATACTATGCAACAATTAACAACTCTTGCACGCTTGAAAAAATATTCAGTGAATTTGCACTAACACTTAGGAACTTATTGCAGAGAATCACTCACGTTTATAAATTCCTTTCTCCTTGAGTGACTCAACGCTTGGTCGATTTCGAAAGAATCGAATGAGCTTTTCTAAAATAGACTCTCGTGACGGTCGCGGCTCTTCGGCTACGAAATTTGTCACTGCGGGTGTCACTATTGAGCTGCCCGTGTATTCAATTGAAGAATGGGCCATTGAATCAGCGCGTGATGGTGTTTGGGCATGACGTCGACTGAAATAATGGGACCATATAGTATAACAGGCCTCCTACCTTCGAGAACAAATTCCTGACAAAGAAGCGCTCTCGAAAATCTAAAAAGATCAACAAAAAGAAGAGCGTATTCCAAAGCAATATGTTACACCAACTTAAAGAAAAACCCTCACTTGTTCATCACTGAAGACGAGTGCCTGCTGGACAACGTAGACGGATTGCGGACCACTGCACAGGAGGAATCCAGCACGGACGGTTGAATAGGGAGCCCCGAACATGGCGAGACCGATGGCTGAAGGATCAGGAACAGAATCAGTAAGATTTTAAGAAAAATAAAGCGAAAGATGATGCTACATGGTACGTGTAGTCGACGCGGTGGCGCATGTAGCGCAATGATTAGAGGTACATTACAATATACATGGGTCCTATCCCGCGCCCCAGGCTCACCAAACCTTCCGTTCTTTCGCGGTCGGCAAATTGGTACCAGATCTATCCGCGAGGATAGCAACACTGACTCTATACATCCGTAGGCCATCACGACTCACTGTGTAGGCTAAATACGCATTCAGTTACCTCAAACGATGCTAGATGAAGTCGAATGTATGGCGCATCCTCTCACGGATTGATCAGCACTGAGAACTTAGCCCTTTATCCTTTCTATAGCATTTGGATTCAAAAATGTCTTTAAACTAGCATGCGTTTTGCGAAATCTTTTATAGGACAAATTTATACAATCAGTGAAGCTACGCACAATTACTATACTTCATAAAGGCTTAAGTCGGTGGCAAATGTATGAATAGCGCTTTTTGTTGCAACATTTGGCATATGATGAAATTGAGTAAGAGATTGGTCCAAAAAAAATCACCTGTGGTTTTGAAACGGCGGATTTATATGATGCTGAATAACCTTTACACGTGCAACTTAAGGCATTTACCTGCGATTGGTAGGGATTCAAAAAACTATGTTGTACAAGTTCAAAACGTAATTTTCAAAAAACTGTTACGTTTTTTGGTGCCGAGTAACTCCTCTGAAATAGTCCGAGATTTCCTCTACGAATGAAAGGCGATCTATCCATGTACCTTTGATGAATCTCTAGTAACACTTATATTCCAGACATTATGTGAAAAGACAACAAAGCTCTTGAACTTCACAACTGCGCTCACATACGTAACAGGCAGACGACGAAGGGCGACTGCCAAATTCATCTCACCATCTTCTCTATCGAAACTCGTTTCTAGACACCAAGTAGAGAAACACATCTATTATAGAGGATTATAGCCATTATGTCGCTGCTACGCCATACAAGTTCACTCTTTCTATTTCAACATGCTTCGAATTACTCGTCTGTAGAATAGTAAGTCCGCTGTTCTCAATAATGCCTTATAACTAAATATTTGCATGCTATGTAACGCAAAACATTAAACAATTGGATGGAGTTTAAATTTTTCAGCTTTCAAAACCACACATATTCACATTTACCAGGGATTTTCCACGCATTCAAGTACGAGTGCAAAAACTCAATTGTCTTACCCTAGTAAAATAACTTAATTAGCATGGTAAATTAATAAATCCACTATGATAATCCATGAACTGTAGCACGAAGCATCAACTAATCCTGTTGTCGCATAACCTTCGATCCACGTTTCTTCTATCATATTGCTACATACGTTGGGTTACACTGTACTGAACTACTAAGCCAAACTGTATCATATGGAGTGGGCAGCGAAGTGGTAGTAAAGCTGTTCACCACAAGCATTGTGCTAGTTCGACCGCTCCATGAGCTCACCAATTCTCTCAATCTGTTCGGTGCCCAGAAATTGGCACTACACTTCGCCGGAAACCGCTTCCTCCTGCAATCCAAGTGGGAACGCTCTAGCATGGTTAGTTCAGAACTCTAAGGTGAATAGATTTGACCGGCATCCAACGACGTTGGTGACGAAGAGCACTATCTTCAAGGAGTAGCCGAAGCAACAAGCGAAAAGCACAAAGACCTTCGTAGATGACGGATGCAGTGAAACGAATCAAATGCAGGAAATGTTAGGATCCACACAGTAGGTGTGAACACGGGTCGTGCAGAAGAATACACCACACTATATCATTTTCTGCCCACAGTATTATTATACCAACTAAAAGCTATGTCTTACTTATACTTGTTATTTCTAATTGTAATCTCGTTTCATTTGTTGTGCGGATCTCAGCAATATTTTCATTCGATTGGCTATCTTGTACTATTCATTCTCGAAAACAGCATTTTTATGTCGTTACGGCTGCTATTTGAGAATGCTGTCTTCTTTTCGAATGCTACTGAACTCTGAACGAACTAATTCTCGTCGGAATCCAGGAGTAGCTCTGGTATAGGGTTCCCGGGTCTTCACCAAAAACAAGCGGTCAAGCGCCGAAGCCGTCTTCCAAGCAAGTGTGGTGATAGCAAGACTCCGGCAGTATCGTATATCTACTAGACCTGAGGTGGATCAACACAGCATGTACTGCAAGGCATCTCTAGCCACTGCGTTTTCCAAGCCAATTTCTTTCATCTTCTAAGAAAATTTACACAAATTGAAAAAGTTAATATGTTTTGGTTACAAAGATACGACACTTTTAGATTTTAAACGATTTAGCTTTCTTTTCTTATCAAAACCAATATTTAAACCAATTCTCATAAACTAATCTATTATTCTTTCCACCTAGAAATACCTGGCAAAAAATTTACCACCGTGACCAAGTTCCTTCATGAATGCAGAAAACAACAATTTGGGAGAAGTGTTAAGCAAGACTCACGTATTTCTACTGCTATGGAATAAGAAGAAAAGAGTAGTCAGTAGGTAAGACTTACTCGTTAAGTTCTCACGTTAACTTTTTATGTTTCCACATCTTTTCAGGTGAGATCTATAAGAACTCACTATCCAAAGCATAAATCTAGATTTCGCCAGTGATAGCAGCTGTCAAGAGTATCAGGTCTCTTTAGTCAATATCCTGGTGCCTAACGAACTAAGGTATGATAATTCTTCACAAACGACCAAATTGATGCAAAGGACGATAACGATCTTATTATATACAACCTAAAGGTTATCCAGTAAGACAAACATTGAAGGCAGAAACAAGCAATAGTAAAAAAAATCACGAATTGGATGAGAAAAAATAATTTCGTCTTAAATCACCGTTCTTTTCTAAAGAATAGATTTTGTGCATAAAGGATAAAGGATAAACCTCTCAGCGTAAATCAATCCCTGAGGGATGCGCCATACGCTCGACTTCATTAAGCATTGCTGGAGGTGATTGAATGCATACCTTATCTTTACAATGACTCGCGGTGGCCTACCGACGTATCGAGCCAGTGTTGCGTCCCGTCCCAGAGGAGGCTGGTACCAATTTGCCTACTCCGTAGTAATGGAAGGCTTGCTGGGCCAGGTGTGGCGGAGTCGATTCCATTGTATCGCAGGGGGCCTCCGACCACTGTGCCATCCGCGCCCATAAGAAAGAAAGTGCATACATAAATTCCACTTCGAATAATTTCGATAAAACCTTAATAAACTATCTACGTAGAAGCTGACGTTTTGGCGGATTTCGCCTTCCTCAGAGCCGCTTTCTATAAGTCTGAGAAGGGAGGCGAAATCAGCCGAAACGTCAGCTTGTGCGTAAATAAAGAAATAACACCTCGTGTTTGCTAAACAGAAACAGAAAGAATTATTCAATCAATGTCGAGGTTAATAGAAAATCGGACGTGAGAGTTACTTAATAAACTAGTTCAAAATTCTAAAAATATCGAAGCAGAAATATAGTAATCTGGAGAGGTTGAACTCCTCTAAAAACCAAACGCATTAAAATTTCAAATTTCTAACTGAACTAAAACACTAACCAATCGTGAAATTACGTCTCTTAACGATCCAAACCACTCCCGGGTTTCCACATCGTTAGCAGAACGGAATAAGTACCGACAACCACTACTAAGCTCAAGCTGAAATGGAGTCATAATAAGTAGCATGGCATCAAATACTGATATAGATTAACGATCTTGAAATTCCCCCTCCCGAACAACTGCATCCGTTCGGATCTATCAGCAAAAACTCCCTCGAGCAGCAAAAATTGTGTAGCAACGAAATACTCAGTCGCGACGACCATCTTTAGCACAGGCGCAAAAGATATAGACAGCGCACACTATGAAGACTGGTTCTTATTCTAAACTACAACACCAGAACAGACACCTCAGACGACAATACCTACTCTCATCTTAAGGTTGCAAGCCACATACAACTACAAGAAAACGCCTAGAAATTAAAGCATCCTTACTGCTAGTGGAGAAAAGATCTCATCACAATTTGTTTGTGACGAGACTGTCGTCTCCGTTCGCAGTACAACGCATTGATTCGAACGATATTCTGTCGCTTCGCCTATTCATATGAAGTGGTCCATAAAGAAAACCATTACAGATTTGTTTTCGGAAGCTTCAAAACGAGAATAGACCGAGCTACCAAGAGGTTGTATAGGATAGTGAAACTTCTTCCCTACAATTCCTAAGGAAAACCAGATATTACAATCCGACAAAATATTTTCGAAGCTATCCACTGCCACACCGATACACGTAATAAAGTCGCTCCATTGCTTCTAAAAATCATATAAAACGGTAGACAAGGAAGCAAATCAAACGAAACAGTGAATTCAAAAAGACTCTCAAACGTCGGCAAGAAGGAGACCACCTACGCGGACCACGGTCACGAATAGAAAGTGGCCAATGATCGGCATGAACTGTGAACAGAAACCACCTAAGCACCCAAATAAGTTAAAAACAATAATACTTGTATACCTGTATTACTTTCCTTTTCCGCTTTTCCTTCTCCATGACGAGCCAACTGACGCTAGCACCTTTCAGGTCGCACACACCTTTAGGAGCCGCATAATGGTTGCCATGCTTCTGGAAAAAAATTGCCAGAACATAACACTTGTTATTAAGGCATATATATATATATATATATATATATATATAGGTAATATACCATGAAAAAAAAAGATTATCATACTTCAGCGCTTTTCTCATCCTTATACAATATCAAATGCGCCGACGTCAAGTACATAAAGTTTACCATCCAGTCCCGTCTTCTCGATTTGATCTAAAGGTAATCCAATAATTACAAATAGAAAAGTGAACTTATTTGTATAGTGATTCCGAGATATTTCTAAAACTTGGACCCCACGCCAGATTCGAATCCGCAATTACCTTTCTGAGAGCACACGCGTGAGCCACTGCACCACTGAAACCCTTGCTTTGTATTTCCCTCAGCCAGTTTCTACCCTGACTGTGCTATCAGTAATCACTCGTCACTAGGAATGCATTTCGATTAAGCATTGCGATTTCGACCACAATCTCAGCTTAACTGGGTTCAATGTCGCTTAGCCCTTCCCAGACATTTATATTGATGGGTGATTATTGATGGCACTGCGAGGGTAAGAAAGTGACTGAGAGAAAGGCAAAGCAAGGACCTCAGTGGCGCAGTAACAAGTAAGCCCCCGAAAGGGTGATCGCGGTTTCGAATTTGGCCTGAGCTCCAAGTTTTCCAAATATCTAAACATCAATGGGGTTGTATTCCATATGTATTCTAATGTCATTAAAAATAATAGACAAATAAAAAATTAGGTATTGATCTTATTTGATCACTTCTTTCATGGACCGCACTAATGAGATCCAAAATTAAACATGCTAGTGGAATAACGGTGCAGAGCTCTGTACTCAAAACATTGACAGGGACAACTATTGGGATAAAATAAGAGGCAAGATTTAAAATGAGGTATGAACGTCTTTCATAGTTATAACTATGCACATTACAGTGGCTTATCTAAACTCTCCATTGTTTCCCTATTTAAACCTAAACACTCCAGATGAATCGCCATAACCGTTTTTTTTTCGTCTTTCATAGTCCTAAAAGAAAAAAAAACAGGGAAATTCTCCTCGAGATATGCGTAGGACTTGGAGTGAAATTTCTACAACTTCGTGGCTCGTAAGTGTTCTTGGGTGTCCAGCATCGATGTACATCTGGGGGATTCATTCTACTGGCACAGCCTCCTCCCAAGCTGAAAAGAGGTTCGGTGTTTCCATCACGAAACCCAGATAAGAGTAAACCAATACCAGGATCCACCACCGTCCTGTTGTCAAACTAGTCGCAAGGTTGAAAATCCCCCTCTGATCCATAAAGGTGGCGAATGCCTGTGCTGGTGAAGACCCGCGGCAGACTTTGGCCTGGTTGACCTGGAGACTGCAGGAAAACACAATGGCTAAACAAGCAAAACTCCGAAACAGTGGAAATTTTGCTGGGGCCGCACACCCAGTGAGGACGGACCATTCAATTATCCAAATATTCTGCCAAATATGAAGCGATCTTGAAGAAGCCGTACCACTGTTACATGCATAACACTAGAGTAACGAAGAAGTATATACCTGCTCAACACATTCAATAAATTCCATATTTCCACATTTAATTGTTCTCACTGATTCGCGTGTTTCCGTGTGGCCGCTGCTACTTCCACGTCGATCACAAGAAACGTCTTAACTCGCTAGTTTCACATATATGGTAAAATAGAGATGAACGACAAATAGACAGACAGATTCTATGTAAAAATGAAATAAAAATTATATATCAAAATTTTGACTAGCCATAACTAATTATGAATTCTAAAACTTTAACTAACCATAACTACTTATGGATTCCCTGTCTGGCTTCGTATACATCCTATCCAGAGAATGAGTCCCACTATCGTTATAAAACAAATTTCCGGAACTAGTGGAAGGAAGAACCTGTGTAAAATCGGAGACTTTCGGATGCTAAACATTTACACGCATTTTCAATCAAATATTCCTTGATCATCATGTCCAACAAGTGTTACTGTACTCTTAGTATGAAAGATCAAAATAAACGTTCTTCATGAAATTCTCGAGGTTGAGTTAGCTAGCAATGGTACACACAAACACACATAATGCTTCATCATTAGTAAGTTTAAAAAATAAAGGATAAAACTCTCGGCGTTGAACAATCCCTTAGAGATAGGGAGGGATGCGTCATGCATTCGATTTCATTAAGCATCGTTTGGAGATGACTGAATGCATATCTAACCTATACAATAACTTGCGGTGCCTTAACGATGCGTCGAGTAGCTGCTACTGTGCTCCCAGACAGGTCTGGCACCAATTTGCCAACTCCGGAGGGATGGAAGGCTTGGTGGGGCATGCGTGCGAGAGTCGATCCCATGTATATTGCAGGGAGCCTCCGACCACTGCACCACATGCGCCCATTTTAATGTTTGTCTATCGTTAATCTTTGTTGAAAACGTTGTCCTTGCAGCCAAAAGATCAAGCTTCGCTATCTATGATCTAGGGCTTTTAAAAAAACAGTAATTCACCGAGAATGTGATTCACCTAAGCAAGGATCTTTGCAAAGTGAGTTATATTTCAAATATGTCATAATAACCAAAAAACACAAACCACTGTAAAAGAAGCGAACCTGAGGTAAGGGCACACTCTTCAGCGTACAATTTCGTTTATTACATGATTGGAATTGTTCGATTACAGGCGCTTCAGACACATGTTTGTTGTGTTGTCGATCACTCTAGAAACGGTTGTTCCATGTTTAATTTAGCAGAAGGATTTCGAAACCGGTTTGGATGAGAAATTTAAACGATAATGCGCACCGGTGCAATAAGTTGAATATAAGTAAAAGCAGTACAAGTGTAAAAAAACCAAAACAGAGTAGTGAGAAAGTAGGTGACAGTTAGAGTAAACACATTTCCTGGACCAAGATGGCAAAAAAATGATATAATTGAATAAGTTTTATAGCCGAGTACCTGTTTTAGGCTTGGACCCAGAAAATCACGCGTGCTTTGTGCATGGAAGGACGACAACATTGCAGCGTCGTCACTGCTCGATGTCGCGTGATAATATGTGGAAATCGGAGGTGAGCCTCCCATACCCTCAAAAAAAAAATGATGCTGTATAACGAGACTTTCATTTAAGATAAGAAGCTCATTATTTCCTTTGCATCCTTTGCGTTATTCATTATTACCCATTTATGCTTCTCTTTCATCTCATTTGAAATCTTTACCCCATCGTCCATTCCATTCAAACATAACCCTAGAACAAAACTACTCAACCAAGGAAACTAGTACTCGTTCTATGAAAAAAAAAACCAGGGATAATTGGACAACAAGAATAAACTAATGTTAGGATCTGTTCCCATTTAACCAGAGATGACAATAATGGCGAGTTGTAAATCGACGACGATAAAAGAAAAATATTAATTCCAAGATAAAAGAAAAAGATAAAGATAAAGTGTTAACTAATCCCTGAGGGATGCGCCATGCATTCAATTTCATCAATACTGCTAGAGCTGAGGGAATGCATATCTGGCCTACACAATGAGTCGCGATGGGGTACCAGTGTATCTAGCCGGTGCAGCTATCCTTCCAGACAGGTCTCGTACCAATTTGCCGACATTACAGGAGCCGAAGGCTTGGTGAGCCTGGGGCGCGGGATCGAAGCCATATGTACCATAAAACGCCTCTTAAAACTGCTCTACACGCGTCTTCATGGCTAGAGTAATTCGAAAATAGAGAACAGAATACGATGGATTAGCTAATCTTATTGTGAAACCCTCTCCTTTTTTATTCCAAAATTAAAAGCACCATGTTATACTTATCTGCACCTATGAGTATGTCGTTCAATCAACATTGATTTTGTTTTTTTTTTTGCAACCATGGCAATTTAATTGAACTTCAACTTGGGAAAAAAGTGACAGTGGAACCATATGGGCAGGAAAGTATAGATTCAAAGGAAAAAAACTTCTGGGATTAAAAAGTTGAAATGGTCAGCTATATATTTAATTCTATACCTGTTCATAACTGTATTTCCTTTCCGAAAAAACCGCCGCTCCCGTTAGTGCCTCATCACATGTTGCCACTCGCGTTGAAGACGAAATATTCTGTGAAAAACCGTCTTCCACTGAATGATGTGAATTTTCACATTTTGCAGACGTTGCAGAACACTTCTCATCAACATCATTACGTGTAGCTTGTAAAAGCGCCTAAAATAATGTTAAGCATCTTTCAAAACTGAGTGATGACGTGACAATTCTTGGAGCAATTTCGATAGAAGTGTTATTTCTTCTGAGTCATATCTTGCTGAAGAATCAAAACACCATCGATGACCATCAGTCTCTATACACTCGAAATACAAAATGGCTAAGATAAAAAAGGAAATGGAAAACGACATCTCTTTCTCAATCATTTATAAAATTCTTCCACAATAAAAATTTCTCTCATTTCTTTAGCAAACAAGAGCGTCTTGTGACTATAACGCAACTAATCACAGAAATCAAAATTGAGCTGCGTACAATAAGCACAAAACTAACACCAGAGAGTGATGTTAGCTCAGTACAGAAACGAAATTCTCTTCTTACACAAAACATCACAGTTTTTTATATTTTTATATGACCCGTCTTTACGTCTACTGCGCGGAACCCAGTACTTTTTACATTCGACTCGTTTCCTCGTATCGATTATCCACGAATATCTTCCAACTTTTACGTGTGGCTGGGATCCGCACAGCAGAGTACACCGTACTAAAACATTTTTCCAAAACATTAAGAAAAAACAAGAGCGTTAATGAAGTGGTTCAAGGGACGAAAAATATTACTAAACTTGCATATATGGGAATCGAAGAGCATAAAGTGAATGTATGGATGTACAGACATACTTGAACCTGAGCCGGAGTCCGGATAAATCGTGGAGGAATCCACTGGCTTTTCCCTGTCTCGAAGTTGTAAAAATATGTTCTGAACAAAGGGAATTAGAAACAAAAAAGAAAAACCTTAGTGATGAGATGGAACTCTAACTTTAAACACAGATACACTACCTGCCCGCCTCCGTTTCATATTCCAACCATCCGTTATTAAGATCGCGTCGTGGAACATCAGTGGAGTTCGGTACAGGAGGAAATGGACGGCTGTTTAATTCGTCCATTTCTCGAATATTTGTGTAAATATGCTTTCCATCATCTAGGTGCGAACAGCACAATTCCGGTGATGCTGAGCAGCTCGCAATCTATAAGCTATTTGACTGAATATCGTTACTGTCACGTAGCTACAAAGACTCACAGCTTTCCTTATGTCAAGAGTCGTTAATCAAAAAGTTTCCTTTCTCAAAAGGTGAAGAACAGGTTAGTCACGAATCGGAAGTGACGATATACTTTCTGTGAGACAAGTGTGGAATTAGACTATAGGGTCTATGCTGCTCAGGGATGACCTGTGGTTTGCAACAACCTGACAAAAACATGGAAGGCATTCGAAGTTACCTGCAACAAATGAAACTAACTTCGGATAGTCTCGATGAGCTTATCGGCAGCACCCTTTCAAGAAAAACTAAAAATTAAAAAGTGTTAAAAGAACGATTTTCCATGTTCCTGGAGAAATGGGTGCGCTCTGGCTACATTTGTTGTAAATGGAAGCTTACTAGGAACCGTTCAATTTGTTTGTTGATAAATAGCCTTACAGGTGACGTGGGCGATATAAATGAACTAAAAAAAGTGCATTCTGGAAATAAATCCAATAGATAGGCCGACCACCTTGAAAAAACGGATGGAATTCAAAACTATCAGCTTGAAAAGTGAGATATCCAAAACGTTTTAGTGCCCAAATTAGATCACACTAGCTCCTGCATTTGAAAACAATGTCATACGATATTTTCATTACTGTCCATTATATAACTCAAAAGGATAATGTATTTGTCATATCAATCAAATACCTTCATTAAGCATGAATTGTTTCGTCCGCTTGGAAATAAATCCTTCGCTCTACTAAATATTTCGGTTATGAAATCAAAATATTTAAAAACACTGCACACACAATGAACCAGATTAGACTACAGATCGTGATATAGGTTGATTTGATAGTTATGTATTCCACACAATAAGAATACTGAATGCGGGTGACAAACGTCTCCTTTGCCTCTCCACAGTTTACTGCCTCATCATGGCTGGGAGGTGTTACTGGGTGTCGAGCTGCGATGTACAGCGAGGGGACCCATCTCCTTGGCAGGGTTTCCCAAGCTAAGAAAGAACCCGACGTTTCCATCAGGAAGCCTAGCTAAGAGTAAACCAATATCAGGATCCGTCACCGTCCTGGTACCAAACTAGTCGCGTGGTGGCAAATCTCCATCTGATCCATAAGGGCAACAACTGCATGTGGTGATGACGACCTGGAGCAGACTTTCGCCTGGTTGACCTCAGGACTCCAGGGAAACGGTGACTAAACCGGCAAAACTCCGAAAAATGGAGATTATTGCTGGGGCCCGCACAACCAGTGAGGATGAGTCATCCAAGTATCGAAGTAAGTAGTCCCTCCTTTTAAATTAAGCACAATTTACTATCAAAAGCTTGAAAAAACAGAGAAAGCAGCAAACAGAAAAAGCAACCCATCAGCTGATCAAACTCTTACACTCAAAAGGTTTGGCTAACGTGTACAAGCCCAACCACTTTCATTGGACTGATTTTTATTGAAAACTTATGAAAGAGATGTTAACGAACAAACCTTATCGTCCGAGTTGCTTCTCGAGTCAGCATCGTACGTTCCTGAGTCCTCCAGCTTCAAATCGTCCGAATGGCTGGTTGTCGAGTGAGTATCCGAAATGTTCTCATAGATTGTTGACGTTGACGACGCGATGGCAGCCATCATCATATCACCAGAAGATTCGAGGGCACATGTCGTCCAGCATCCGTAATCGAAAGAAAAACTGTAAAAAAAAAAACTGCTGTAATCGATAGCATAACAAAATCGTGACGAACGGCGCCGTGGCCATGACTCAACAACGACGGCGAACCCGCTCGTCGCTGAGAGTTGACGGAAAGATTCGACAGGATCAAACCTCACACACTGTAAAGAGCTCAAAAATAAACAACTTCGTATATTACGAAACTTATTTCAATGTAATCCTGGTCATAAAGTCCATTTTAAAAGTTGAAGATGGATTTCGCCAAGATTTTCAATGGATGAGTTCCAACAAAGCTCGACAACGAACTCAACAATGCGAAAAGTGACTTAATATTGCTAATAACTTATAACTCTAACGGAAATTTCTGAAGCTCCACACATCACTCAACTTTGTAAAGCGAAGACTATAGCACAGAAGTGGATATAACTATACAAAAAGCGTAGCCAATACAGCCAACCAATACAAGGATCCTCCGCCGTCCTGGTATCAAACTAGTCGCATGGTGGCAAATCTCCCCCTGATCCACAAGAGCGGCGACTGCATGGAGTGGTGACGACCTGGAGCAGACTTTGGCCAGGCCTCGGGACATCAGAGGAACAATGGCTAAACTAACAAAACTCCGAAAACTGTAGAACATGGTGAGTCCCGCGCACCCATTGAGGACAGGTCGTCTAAGTATCCAAGTATCCACGTAGAAGGGTAGCCATGAACGATACTAAAGCAATTCATTAACAGTAAATGTTAAGCTCGGTATATCTGAAACAAGGAACTGTGACTACTGTAAATAGTAAGTGTTTATAAGACAGAAAATCGTGTCAGGAAGCATTTGCCGATAGAGAAGAAACAAAAGCAGTCGACTGAACGACGATGCCGAAACTAGTCGTATTATGTAAATGCGCTTTAGAATGTGCCACGCGCCATTCTCATCCGATTTCCCCTTGTACCCCAAACCACACCCTCCGAATATGATTGCCATCAAAATCAATGAAGAGAAAAACATACGAACAAAAAACGCTGTTTAGAGGAAGACAAGAATACAGAATGGAGTCCAGAAAAGTATAAGAGTCCACGAAGCTTGTGGTCCAAATTACCTAGAAAGTTCAATGAAATGGCAGATGTTATTAAGGACTAAAAATAATCACGTAAGGGTTACCAGTAATAAAAAATTAAAGACGCATAAAAATAATGCTATTGCACTTGAGTACAAAAAAAAATCACAGTTAGAAAACCAGGGCTTTGAATAAAAGTGTACTCACCAAATGTTAACTGAAAAAGAGAGAAAGTGAAAATGATGTCCAGCATGTAAAAGGAACGAAACTGTAGGCCTGTTATGTAAAATATTCAGTTAAATACAGCCCCAACTGAATTTAAGAAAAAAAACCTTATTAAGACTTATAAAACTTAAACTTATTGATCGAAACAAAACGAATGTGCAGGGTGACCTTAAGCGCAAGGGTGTAGCCTAGGCTTCCTTCTCAGAAAACATAAGGAAAACTGCTTTAGCTTATATTTTCTGCTTATGCTTTTCTTTTCCATTTCCATGAAGGTACGATGTGAAGCACAATCCCAGAGATGCCGAGACCTGGCCAAAACCCGGAACAAACCTCAGTTGGGCTTCGAATCACGATAACGCTCACCTCTATTGAAAACAGTGAGGAACAATTTTTTGAAAGACAATTTTACAATGAAAACATGGCTGTGGGTAAGGCAAAACAAAGGCCTTCGTTGGTGTGGTGTATAGCACATTAGCACACATCACACACCTTCCGGTAAGGGTAATCGTTGGTTCGAAACCCTAGTGAAGTTCAGGATTTCGCTCATAGTTCAGCGTTCCTACGGTTGTATTAGGAAAAACTTCCATAACACTTCAAATAAATCTGACTTTCATCCTATTCTGCCTTTTCTTGATTACTACACTATGTCTCTGACAAATCCTATGGATGGTTAGGTAGTACTCTGTTGTTTTTGAACCATGAGGAAGATTTTCTTAAAGCTTCTACATCATAAGATCATTCCTATAGATTGTGAAGATGATCAATGAGACTCATAAGCCTAACACTACTGAAATTTCCCAAGTAAATGATCATCTCTTCACAATAACTACTACAGTAGAGTCTAAGGCACTTTCTTTCTAAAGAAATGCATATGAATATTTTCCTATCAAACAATCATGAAAATCCAAATAAAAAGAAAATGGGCGGAGAATAAAAAAGGAAAAACTTAAGCATGATGATGATTTGTTTACATGACTGAGCTGACAGAACTTGAACACACCTTGACCAGTGGCCATCTATGCAAGCAATTTTTAAATCGATCTGAAAAAAATCAATAATGGCGCTTGATTGACCTTCGGGACTTCGTATCGTAGTACTTAGAACTTGATAAGTACTGAGAAAACTTGAAGATGGAAAATAACGGGATTGAAAAGGCTGAACAACACGAAATGAACCGACGAATTGAGCTTCCAGTCAGTCCGATAGCCCTACTGATAACGGCCATTTCACGAGCTACGACGTTCTATAGTTTGTCCGTGCGTAGTGCAAACACTACGAAAATGATAACAAGGCCGGTATCGATTCCGCTTCGGATGTCTGGACTATCGACTAGAAGAAAAGCCGCCGATCGATCGATTCGATGGACTGAACGCACAGTCGATTATCCCATGACGTATAGCATTTCACTTATCGCGAGTTTTTTGAGAGATTCGTTACCCCTGCAATCAAGTGAATTACTTTGGGTATCCCTAGGACACTTCTGGAACATCTTTGCTCTATGAAATATAAATATAGAAATAATAAAAACATGCAAAAACATATGTTCGCGTAAACTAAGAAAAACATCATTGTGGTTAACTGAATTGAACTTCAGAAAAGTTATAGCTAATAAAACGATAACTAAGAGGAAAGAGGAACATTCTTATTGCCTCCAGTGTAACAAGAAAAAGGAAAGGGAGAAAACGATGAAACACGAGGATACTGTAGGTAGGCCGCAATCACGTACGTTTCCTAGGAGTGCCGGCAATAGAGAAGTGATTGGAATTCTAACCAAACCCTGCATTACTAGTTTTCTTTCAAGTAGTCTCGAATCCAGCGTTTCCATCAAAAAACCCAGCTGAGAAAAAACCAATACCAGGATCCGTCACTGTCTTAGTGTCAAACTAGTCGCATGGTAGCAAATCTCTCTCCGATCCACAAGGGCGGCGACTGACTGTGATAGTGGCGACCCTGAACAGATTTTGGCCAGACTGACCTCGG